TTGGTTGGTGCAGCAAGACTAGACCGGTAGGGACAATAGTGAGGCAAGGTGTCCAGGTGACAGATAAAAATGGCAATGGACCAGTGTTGGTGCACATGGAGAGATGACATTTAGAGTTAGAGACACCAGGATTTGCTGATAAGGGATAGAAGGAAATAAGGAGTCAGGAATGACTCCTGTTTTTGACTTGAGCATCTGGATGAAGGTTGGTGCCATGATCTGAGATGGGGAAGACTGGGAGAGGAACAGACTCTGGTGAGAGGCAGGCGGTGGGGTGCCGGGTGCTGCAATATGGATCTAGCTGGGTGGAGGGGAGGAGCGAGGCCAGAGGTCTGTGATGTCCTCCAGATTCCCAGCTGGGGTGCTGGCATTCCTTGTCAGATCAAAGCCTGTATATGTCCAGCCCCCAGAGACTGTAGCATTAGAGCATCTTGGAAAAATGCAACATTCTGTAATGGGTTGGATGCTTCTTGCAACCTTTAGGAAGACCCTACAAAAAAGAGACAAACTTAGGCTGAAGATGACGGTCCATCCTTATTGTCAAGAGGAAAAGTCACTGCCCACTCCCTTTTAACTTTGAAACCATATTGCTGGCTTATGAACTCCAAACATCTAGGCAGCACCGTACAGATTCTCCACCCTTTCGTCACAGCAATGACAGGCTGGGAAGCCCATACTGAGTGGCTGATGAAAGCAAGGACAGGAGGCTTAGAGGACAATCAAGAAAGAGGCCCCCGTGAGTCAGAGTCAGCTAGCAGGCTGCAAGAGGCATAGAAACTGGAAGGGAGAGTGAAGCATGAAAAAAATAAAGGAGAAAGAACTCAGAGAGGACACGGGAGCTGCTGGAGGTCAACATCTAAGGTGAGCTAGATTGGTACCACGGGCAGGGTGCAGGCTCCAGGAGTGTTGCCAAACCAACACCCTGTGAGAGGTGTTTGAATCCTTGAGTTTCAAACCTGGAAGAACCTTTGGAGGCCAGGTGGCTGGCTCTGTCCATAGAAAAAAGAACTGGGCTTCAAGGAGGAAATGGGAAAGAAAAGGAGAAACCAAAAAACCAGGTCTCCAAGCTTTAGAAGCCACAGTCACCAGCTCTGCCCTGGCTGACCCCAGAGAAGCCTCAGTCCTCTTTCTCTTTGCTCCATTTGGTAAATGTTTGGTCCCCAAGGGGCAGTACTGTCTTGCTGTTTTCTGGAAACATGTGGTCATCCTGCCTGTTTGGGAGATGTAATCCGGGTCTCCTGGTCTGACATCTGCCCCACTCCCCCACCCCTCCCCTCATCCCAACTGGGTCCCCATCACATGTTCCCAGGCACACCCACCCTGACCAACACAGGCACATATGTGGCAGTGTTCATGGGCTCAAGCAGAGTGAGCGGGAGGGGGGCCATTTCCTGAGGGGTGGGTGAGGTGGGCATGGGGAATGGAGAATGGTCAGGAGGGGAGATGGGCTGACGCGGCTTCTCCAAGCCATGCAAGGATCCAAAGAAAACACAGCTGGAGACAGGGAGAGGGTGGGGTGGGGGGGCGGTCAGGCTACACATGTTGACAACTTGGGCAGAAATCCAATCTGGTGTCCTGTGGTCAGTGGAGCCTGTGTTTACTTACTCGGACTAGTTACTTCCTTCTGCTGTACCTCAGTTTCCCAATCTTGCAAAACAGGGACAAGAGTAGCTATCTCAAGGGATTGCTGTGAGGATTAAGTGAGATCATTAAAAAAGAGACAATACAATGGAGTGGTTAAGAGCATGGGCTCTGGAGCCAGACTGCCTTGAGCTTATTATGTAACCTCTCTGGATCTCAGTTTCCTCATCTGTACAATGGGATGATGAGACCTTTTAGGATGTTCCAAGGTTTAAGTGAGTTAATATTTGTAAGGCACTTTTTGTTTATTAGACAAATAGTTAATACTCAAAACCAGAGACATTTATATCATTGAGCCTTTGGTGTGCCAAGTACTAGGGTCAGCAGTGTATATACTTTTTCACATTAAAATCTCCCAGCCACCCAGAGATATAAGCAGGTACTAGATCATCCCCATTCCACAGATATGGAAACCGAAGCTCATAAAGAGATTTACTTTTTGACTTACTCTAGAAAGGGGTTGGCAAACTATAGCCCATGGGCTGAATCCAGCCAGCAGCTTGTTCATTTAAGCATTGTTTATAGCTGCTTCCATGCTACAATGGTAGAGTTGAACAGCTGTAACAGAGACTGTAGGGCCTGCAAAGCCCAAATTATGTACTGTCTGGCCCTTTACAGGAACAGTTTGCTGCCTTCTGCTGTAGAAACTGGTAGAAGCAGGATTTGAACCAGGTCTGATTCCAAAGTATCTAACTGCTTTGCTATATCCTGTTTTTTTTGTTTTTTTTTTTTTTTTTGCAATATTGCTGTGCTGGGTGCACAGTAGAGGTTAGAAAAGCATTTATTTCCTGTCCTTTTGAGTGCTGGGAAGTTCTCCCCTTCCCTCTTCAAAGGCAGGAAAGAAAGCGAAAGGGATGTGGAGATTCTGATCTCTCTGTCACTCAAGCCCAGTGGTGAGGACTCAGGGAAGCTGCCAAAGCCCCTGCCTGCTGGGCTGCACATCTGGAGTGTGCATCGCTCTGAAGTGTGAGGGTTGGGGGCACAAGTTTTGAGAGAAAAGGAACCCATGTGCTGGAGAGCAGCAGGCTGAGTGGGCAAGTCCCTGGAATCAGGGTCAGTGACTGCATTTTCTCATCCTCCAGTCAGGGCTGTGTTTAGAATCAGCTGGACTGAGACTAACAAAGTGCAGGAGCTGATAAAAGAATCCCAGGGCGCTGTAGGTACTGCCTGCTCTCCAGGGACATTTGAAGGCTCCAAACCAGCCCATTCGCTCAGCAAATATTAATTCAGTACCTACTCTGTGCTAGTCATTGTAGTAGGCTCTGGGAATAAGCGGTAAACCAGATTCCAATCTCATGGAGACAGACCATGTCTCCATTAACTGATAACTTAATAAACTAATATTAAACAGTAATAAGATCTATAAAGAAAATAAGCCAGGCTGATATGATTGAGAGTAACAGGTAGTTAAGCAGGGAGGGCATCTCTGAAGACGTGTCATTTAAACGAGACCAAAATGACAAGGAGCCAGCTGTGGGAAGATCCAATGGAAAAGCATTCCAAGCAGAGGTAACAGCAAATGTGAAGGCCCTAAGCAAGAATTCAAATTGCAAAAGGCCGGTGTGGCTGGTGCAGAATGAAAATGGTTGAGAGTGTTGGGAGACGAGACAGGGGTAGGCCTATCACATGCCTGGAAGTCAGGGCATGGAGGCAGGAGTTTATTCCAAGTGCTATGGAAAAACCACTGGGTGATGGACAAATGAAGCGAATGATTGTAGCTAACATTTTTTGTCTTTTCTAAATACCAGGTGCTTATTAAACCCTTTAAATGCATTAACTCATTTAATCCTTACATGCAATCCAGATGAGGAAACAGAGACCCAGAGAGGTTGAACAACTGACCCAAGGTCACACAATTTAAAGCTCACTGGGGCTGCTGTGGGACAGTGAATTGTCAAGGACAGCAATCTCCTGTAAGAGATAACAATGATACAAAGACAGAACTTGCATCTCGGTTAGGAAAATGAGAAGAAAGGTAATTACCGTCTGTCAGGTTTTCTGTTTGAGCAGGCCTCCAGGAAGAATGAGGGTTACTGGAGTTCAAAGGCAGGCAGATAGACACTTCCTCCTCAGGATATCCTTAGCACTTTTTCTCTTCCCCTCCAACGCTCTTTCTGCCTTGCTTTTGCCTGTGGTTTGTGCCATTAATTGTAACAGCTAGCATTTATTTGGCATTAGTGGTACACCATGTACCATGCCAGCACATGCACTAATGCCTATTTATTCTTGCAATAACCTTACTGTTTCCATTTTAAGAAGAGGAAATTGAGGCTCATAGCTGCTTAAGTAAGGGGTCTGAGAACTGGACCTAAAAATTGGCAGCCTAGGATTTGAACCCTGGTCTGTCAGACACAAGAGTCTAAGCACTTAACTCCCAGGCTATAAGCACCCACCTCCTATTCTTACATAGCAGTCAGAGTTCCCCAGGAGCAACCACAGGAGGGTTTTTACCACTAGTTTCCTGCTAAAGAAGGTTCATAATAGTGCCAACTTCACAGGTTAAGAAATTGAATAAGTTAATCTAGATATAGTGTAACCAACCATCCTAGTTTGCCTGGGAAGGGAGACATTTAGAGAAAGTCCTGGGCGTATCAGGACTTGATCATCCTACCTAGATGACTACTTGGTACTAAATACATGCTCACTGATCAGTACTGCTTCTCCTTTCCTCTTCCATCCATTTGACAACAAAAGGCAGCAAGCCCTACTCAGCGCTTGGTCTAGGAGCTGGGAGCATGACAGGAGGTAGATGGTGGGCAGAGAACCCAGCTCCAAAGGTTCACACACACGAAGTCCAGGCCCTGGGGAAAGGTCAAACCTCCCTCTGGGGTGATTCCAGCAGACTGCGCAGTGTCCTCCTGGGCTGACAGCTTTTGCTTGGATCCCAGGATAAGAAGTCCCAGGGTAGCTACACAGATACTTGGGCAGGGGCAGGGGGGCACAAGATGGGGACCCATGGTGTGAAAGCTGGCAAGAAGTTTGAGATGACTGTGGGTGGAAGGGAAGGAAAGCATGCCTTGGGCATTGATTTTGCGGCTTGTGCAGGGCTGCAATAAAGGCCTAAGAGGTCTTTCCTATTACCATGCACATTTTGCTGGATGAGTTAACTGAGGCTCAGTGACCCAAGTGAAGTGACTTGCCCAGGATCATGCAGAAAGAGATGGGTGATTGGAATGTGAACCAGGTCCCGGTGGAGCAGGGATTGTTGGGGCTGGGCAAGCCGACTCCTGCACTTCCCTCTTTCCTGCCCGGCTTGGGTCCCCCAGTTGTCTTGACAAAGGCCGGGCTTGTCACGGGGCTCCTTACAGTCCTCTTCACCCTCCCGGCTGCCAGCGTCCCGCCCCGTCCCCTCCCACCCCCCGAGGGAGGAGGGGAAAGCGGGAGGTGGGGGGTGTCGGAGAAGCCCAGCTTTATAAAGGCGGCTGGAGCAGTGCGGCCCGCCAGACCCCGCCGCCAGGATCCACTGCGCTGCCGGTCGCCTCACGTCACCGCGCCCCCAGCTCCACCGCAGAGTAAGTTGGGGCTCGTCCCCATTCACCCCTAGGTCCTCACCGAGCCGCGTGGTTTGTTGAACCGGGGTGGGGTGGAGATCCCATGAAGGAGAGCGCTGAGATGGGGGGCACCAGGCAGAATCTCAATGGCAGGGATTTAAGAACCCAGGGGAGCCGGGAGACCCGGGAGACCCGGGAACCCGAGGTCTGGCCGGACGCCCCCTCTTCTTCCGGGCGCGGGTCCTGGGAGACCGCAAGCCACCTCCCAGGAATGCGCGTGCAGCCGTTCCCATGGTAACGTGCAAGCCGCGCCCGCGCTCTGCTAAAGGAAAGGGGGAGGTTGCGTGTCCCCGGAGGTCCAAACTCGTCACACAGCGGTTGCACCGGAGAACCAAGGATGTCCCTTCCCCCTCCCCCATGTCCCAAATCCTCTGGGAGTCAGAGCGTAAATCACAACCCTTCTCTGAGTCTCAGTTTCTGCATCTGCCCAATGGACGCGATATTATTGATTTCAAGATCCTCAAAGCGCTGTCTCGAGGGTAACCATCCGGGCCAGCCCCGTTTCTGGTTGGACATCCTAAGAGTGGTTTTAGAGGCCCGATTGACTCGCGCGACCCCACCCCACCCCCAGGCCCGCTCGCCATGGCCCTCTTCGGGGCCCTCTTCCTAGCACTGCTGGCAGGCGCTCACGCCGAGCTCCCCGGCTGCAAGATCCGCATCACCTCCAAGGCACTGGAGCTGGGTAAGGTGCGGGGCTTGAGGGCGGGGGGACGGCGGGGCGGTCCAGAAGTGGGCACAGGAGCTAAGGGTCTCTGCTGGTGCCGCAGTGAAGCAGGAGGGGCTGCGCTTTCTGGAGCAAGAACTGGAGACCATCACCATTCCGGACTTGCGGGGCAGAGAGGGCCACTTTTACTACAACATTTCTGAGTAAGCTGGGGGGCCGAAGCGGGGCCTCGACTTCGGGGCTGGATACTAGACGGCTGCTGCGGGATGGGGCGTGGCCAAATGGACGAGGCGGGACTTAACAGGATGGGGCGGAGAAGGTAAAGGTTAAGCCTGTCGATATAGGCGGGACTAGACAGGTAGGCGTGGCCTACACAATGTAGGCGGGACCTAGAAAAGCGAAGCGGAGGCGTTGCGGTTGAGGCGTGGCCAAGGGGCACAGAAGACAGAGTCAAGAAACTAGCCGATGGATGATAGTGGGGTCTAGGGGCCCCGGTTGAGCTAATGGGAGAGGTTAAGGGAGCGAGAGATAAAGGCCTGTAGTTTAGGACGGTGGGGATAGGGGAATTGGGATACGGAGCGGAGCTTACGTGATAGAGATAAAATCAAAGGACTAGCCAAGTAGGCAAGACTGGAATCAAACTTTCCCAAATAGTAGATGTAAGGACCAAAAGAGGTATTATGTTTCTTTAAAAGCAATAGTAGAAGCTTCTACCTCTTAATACTACATTTGACCCTTGAACAATGACAGGGTAAGGGGTACCGATCCTCCTTACCCCAGCCCTGCAGAGTCAGAAGTCCCCATATAACTTTTGACTCCCTAAAACTTAACTGCTAATAGCCTACTGTTGGCTGGAAGCCTTAACCAAGTGCAGTTGATTAACAATTGTTTTGTACGTTATATGTATTATATATTGTATTTTTACAATAAAGTAAGCTGGAGCAAAAAAAAAAAAAATCAAAGGACTAGCAAAATAAAAGACCAGGTCTAGCAAGCCCAGGGTGTGGAAGGGAAGGCAGAGCAAGCAGCAGGCCTGAAGCTAGCTCATGTTTAACCTGGGTCAGAAGCAGCCCACCTCTCAGCCACCCAAGGGCAAGGGAAGAATTCATTCCACCTATCCTAGGCCTGGATTGGAGGAGGAGGGAGTGAATTTCCGGTGGTTGGGTGGAGCCCCCTCTTCATGGTTCTGAATTTCACTCTGAGCCTCCTGTAGGGTGAAGGTTACAGAGCTGCAGCTGACATCCTCTGAACTCCATTTCCAGCCAGAGCAGGAGCTAATGTTACAAATCACCAACGCCTCCTTGGGACTGCGCTTCCGGAGACAGCTCCTTTACTGGTTCTTGTGAGGACTTGGCACCCTCAGAATAGAGGGAGGATCTGGAGGGCAGTGGTGCTGTGGGCCTTGGGCAATCCCTTAGCCTCCCCCGAGTCTCAGTTTCTTCATCTTTACAATAGGGACAATCATACCCATTTCATATGGTTGTTTAGGGTGTGGTAGAATGCTAGGTAAACCGCTAAAGTGAAAATTTATTAAGAGGTATCATGATGTATGGGGATGAAGAAGGGGGCAGTGAATACTTGGTCAATCTCTAAGCTGTGGTGAATATTAACTCCGCCCACCCTGCACCCCCTCGGCAGCTATGACGGGGGCTATATCAATGCATCTGCTGAGGGTGCCACCATCCGCACTGCTCTGCAGCTCTCCCGGGATCCTACTGGCCGGATCAAAGTATCCAATGTCTCCTGCCAGGCCTCTGTCTCCAGAATGCGTGCAGACTTCGGGGGAACCTTCAAGTAAGCCCTCATTCCCAACCTCAGCACACCCCCTTTGAGCCCATCTTCCTAGTGCAATGCAAAGTGCACAGGCTTGGGAGTCAGACTAACTCGATCCAAATCTCAGTGTCACCATTTTCTGACTGTGTGACCTTGGGCAATTCACTGAAACTCTGTGCCTCAATTTCCTCACTGGTAAGATGGGGACGATAATAGAACCTTTTTTATAAGATACTATGAGGATTGTTTATGTTAATATCTGTAAAAATATTTAGAACAGTACCTGGCCTATTGACAAGTGGTTAGCCACTTAGATAAGAGTAATTGGGAGGATTCATGCACTGTTTGGTATAAGTAGGGTTCTCAGTAATTGGTAGGTCTTACTAATAGTAATAAAATAATAACATGGTTGCAGGTTTGGGACTAAGGGGACTTTGTGCTGATTCTGGTAGAGGGTGGGGGAGGACAGATGGTGGATTTATCATCTGGTGTTGGTACACTGTCAGTTTTTATTTATTCAATAAACAAAGTATATGCCAGTCCCTAAGCTCACAGCCTTGCTGGAGGGACAGAACATTTGTCATCAGGACTTTGAGAGAGGGACTAAGAAAGTATTCTGGGGAAGGTAATCTGAGAAGACTGCCTGGAAGAGGATGCATATGAGCCCAAAGAAGGGGAAATACAAGATGGGAGTATTGAGGGTGGAAGGGAGGGCATGAGTAAGCACATGGACATGGGGATGCTCAGATGAAGTTTGAGGAACAGTGGGTAGATTCACTTGGCTAGTGGGGGGCAGGGATAGGAGAGGTCTTGGAAATCAGTCTGTAGAGAGTATTTGGGCCCAAGCCATGGAAAACCTCCATTCAGGAGCTCATAATTCAGGTTGAAGTTGAGGTGCTCCCCTCCATCATCTCTTTGGTCACCGTGATTTTTTCCTGGACCTGGGCTGAGGTGCGGCAGGATCTGGGCTCACTTGGTCTTTCCTCTCATAGGAAGGTGTATGAATTCCTGTCCACGTTCATTACCTCAGGGATGCGCTTCCTCCTCAACCAGCAGGTACAGACAGTGGCAGGTCAGGGGGATGGGAGTGGGGTGGGGTGGGTATGCCCTCTCCCTGACTCTCGCCCCACCTTCCAGATCTGCCCTGTGCTCTACCATGCAGGGACCGTGCTCCTCAACTCCCTACTGGACACCGTACCTGGTGAGCTGGAGCTGGTGGGGTGGGGAGCTCTGGGCCAGGCCCTGGGGCTGGAATGGGGGTGAGGAGAGGCTGGGTGGACAGCTGTCAGGCAGCACCTCAGAATGGGCCCCATCCATGTGGTGCTGTGGAACAGCCCTGGGCTCAATATGGCCTCTGCTGCCAACCTGCTGTGTGACCCTAGTAAGTACTCACTTCCCTCTGGACCTTGGTGTCTTGCTTGGCACCTGCCCTGGTAGCTGTGAAGACAACTGCAGGACAGTTGTCAAGGTCCTCAATACCTGCTTGCTGATCATTGGGGGCCCGTTCGTGTTCATCACCTGGCACTTAAGAGGTGTGTGATTAACATGAATTCCCTTTTCCTAAGCTGACCTCTGCCTACCGTGGGGCAGAGATCACCATGCTCTACACACAGGGCTTGGGAAGGGACAGGAGCCAGGGAATACCGACAAGGAAAGGGAATTTCTTGCTGTCTCATCTAGTGATTCCGAGAAGCCCCTGTAGTAATAGTAATGATCATAACAGCTGACATTGTTGAGCACCTACTGACCACCAGGCAGGAAGTGCTTTCCACATACAAAACGAATTTGATCCTCAAAACCACCCTATGATGGAAGTATTATAATCACCATTTTATGGATGAGAAACTGAGGCCCTGAAGGTTAAGCCCCCTGCCTAGCACCATCCAGCTTTGAGTGACTAGAGCCCCTCTCTGTAGTACGCAGTTCTGTGGATGAGCTCGTAGGCATCGACTACTCCCTTCTGAAGGATCCTGCAGCCTCCACCAGCAATCTGGACATGGACTTCCGGGTGGGTGAGCTCCCTGGCTGGTGTGTCACCTGTGACCCAACCAGACTCCCTCCTCTCCCCTACGTTCCTGGTTTTGTCTTCCTAAAGCACAGCTCTGATAAGGCCATTCCACTGCTGAGAATGCCATGGCTTCCCATAGAATTTGTTTCAGCTCCCTGGTCTGGCACTCCAGCCTTCTCCAGCTTGTCTAGCTCCCCATTCTAACTACATCCTGTCTCTCTGCAGCTCCTCTTTCTCAAATAGGCTTCTCGCTTCCCACCTCAGGGCCTTTGAACTGCCTTTCCCAATCTCCTCTGCAGAAGATACTGTTGGACATATACAGCTCTATGCACATGGTCTTGTATCAACCTGTCACCACCATGTGAGGCAGGTACTAACACACTCATTTTAGGGATGTGGAGACTTGCTCAGAGAGGTGACATCACTTGTCCAAGGCCACATAGCTAGTTTGTGGCCATTACCTTTGCTCTTCCCAGTGGAGTGTAGCAGTTTCAGAGCTTGGGCTGGAGTCAGAATCCCTGAAGTTCAGGCCCTAGCTCTGCTACTTACTAGCTGTGTGATCTTAAGCAAGTGGCTTAACCTTTCTGTGCCTATTTCCTACGATGTATATGTAAGTAGTAGCTTTATCATTACTGCCATCTTGCTTTCAAGGCCCACTCAAATGCCACCTCCTCCTCAAACTCTTTCCTCAGCCTCCCTTCTCCAGTCTGATAGGACTGCTTCCTTGCAGTAACTCCAGCTGCCCACCTTTTGATGCCTTTTAAGAACTGTGCTTATGAGTTCCCCAAGGACACTAACTGGGTCCAACTCCCCACCATGCCTCACACTGCCTAGCACAGGCCTGGAGGCATCTGGGTGCTTGGCCAGTCTGCCTTGGCCCTGACCCTGATCCCCCCCACTCCAGGGGGCCTTCTTTCCCCTGACCGAGGGGAACTGGAGCCTGCCTAACCGGGCAGTAGAGCCCCAGCTGCAGGAGGAGGAGCGCATGGTGTACGTGGCTTTCTCTGAGTTCTTCTTCGACTCTGCCATGGAGAGCTACTTCCAGGCAGGAGCCCTGCAGCTGTCACTGGTGGGGGACAAGGTATGCCAGGCCTGCTTGTGGGGCGGACAAGAGGAGGCCTGCCATGGAGTGCCTGCTGAGCCTGCCTTACTCCTGACTCCCCTGGCCAGGTGCCTCACGATCTGGACATGCTGCTGAGGGCCACCTACTTTGGGAGCATCGTCCTGCTGGTGAGTGTGGAAGGGGGACAGGAACATGGCCAGGGTGGGTGGGCATGGCACCTGCACACCAGTGAGGGGACAAGTGAGATGTGCAAGTGGAGGCAGCCAGGGAGTAGACAGAAGGCCTAGACTCTTGTCTGCAGCCAAGGCCGTGCAGGGGGCCCGCCGCCTCCTGTTCTGCCTCCTTCAGGAAGCTGTGATGAGGGTAGGCTGAGGACCCAAGCTCTGTAAGTGTAGGAACTTGAACAATTAATCTTATTCTTTTTGTTTATTTTCCGTAGTTTAATGGGCAGGGGGGTAGAAGTTAAAAAATTTAAAAGAAGTATTTCAGTGATCATTAAAGGACTTGTCCTCAGTTTTGTACATGATGGAGCTGGAATTTGACCCTGGATTTGGATCTGTGTGGTTCCAGGTCACACTGGCTTTTTCTTCTACATGACACAAGCTCACGTGGTTTAACCAGCTCACAAGGATTAACTGAATTAATACACATAAAGCAACTAGGACAGAATCTGACACAGAGTTAGGTGCTCAGTAAACACAAGCTCCTCTTACTGCTGTGGGCATCATCACCACCTTCTGATGGCCAGGCACTGTTAAAATCTTAGACTCTTGCCAGACTGCCTGGGTTTGAATCACAGTTCTGCAAGTGAGTAACTGCATAACAGCCTGGACAAGTTACTTAACCTTCTGTGTCTCAGTTTCCCCATTTCAAAAATGCGATACCTGCCTCACATGGTTACTGTGAGTTTTAAATAAGCTAATACATGGGAAGTGTTTGGTGAAGAGTAAGCACTTGGTCAGTGGGAAGCTAATCGGATTCCTCCACTGTAGGAGAAACAGCACAGCAGTTGGCAGAAAGGGGTCCAGCAGGGGCTGGGATATTTAATGCAGGGAGATTGTTGCAAGGAGTCTGGATTGGAGATGGATCCTGAGGACTGAGGACTTAGGAAAGCAGAACAAAGCAGACATTCCTTTGTATGAGCACACAGAGGTTGGACACAGTTCTGGAGGGTTTGGTAAGCCACGCCAGTCTTTTTGAGTCTCTGGGCTCCCAGGTGGCAGAGCCTGAGCCACACACCCCACCCTCTTGGGGGCTTGTCAGGGAATAAATCTGGGACTTGATCCACCCTTCCTGCTGTCCTCAGAGCCCTGCAGTGATTGACTCCCCACTGAAGCTGGAGCTGCGGGTCATGGCACCACCTCGCTGCACCATCAAGCCCTCGGGTACTACCGTCTCTGTCACTGCCAGTGTCACCATTGCCCTGGTCCCCACTGACCAGCCTGAGGTCCGGCTGTCCAGCATGACAATGGTGAGGACACCAGAGTGGAGGCTGCAGAGGGTCAGGGAGAAGTGGGCTATGGACCCTTTGGGGCAGTAACACCCCCTCTCCACTGTCCCTAGGATGCCCGTCTCAGTGCCAAGATGGCGCTCCGGGGGAAGGCTCTGCGCACGCAGCTAGACCTGCGCAGGTAGGAAGATATCTGAATATCCTGGGCAAGCCCCTAACCTCTGAGCCTCAATGTCTGCAGGATAACCATATGCCCATCAAGTGGGGAGCTAAAATTCCCTCATACCAGAAGCCACTAGAGAGCTGGGGCCTTTGTTAATGTATAACCAGTGTTCTATTAAAGGGTGACTTTTCTGCATGTTCTCAAAACCCAGGGGCAGGCACAGCAGGTATCATGATGTCCACACTGGCCCAGCAAACCAAGTGACATGCCAACAGTCACATAGCAAAGAGCACGGGGTTATAGCAGAAACCTCAGCACACTTAGCTTTGTGACCTTGAGAAGTTACTGTATCTTTCTCAGCTTCCTTTTCTCTATGGGTTAAATACAACTGACCCTTGAACAATATGGGTTTGAACTGCACAGGTCCACTTATACACAGATTTCTTTCAATAAATCTGTTGGGAAATATTTTGGAGATTTGGGAAAACTTGAAGAAGCATTTTTTTCTCTAGCTTACTTTATTGTAAAAATATAGCATCTAATACATATAACATGAAATCAACTTTAATCAACTGTTTATGTTATTGGTAAAGCTTCCTGTCAACAGCAAGTTATTAGTAATTAAGTTTTTGCAAAACAAATTATATGTGGATTTTCAACTGCATGGGAAGGGGAGGGGGCCAGTGCCCCTAACCCAACGTTGTTCAAGGGTCAACAATATAGGTAATAATGTAGTCTCTACTTTCAAGGACTGTGCTGTGGCTATTTACATTTAAATTAATCATGATTAAATAGTTCTTCAGCTGCACTAGCCACATGTAGCTAGTGGCTACTCTGTGGACAGTGCAGATACATAGCCTGTTACAGAAAGTTCTACTGGCCAGTGCTATTCTAGGGGCTTAAACAGGATAATACAGGGTAGTGGTTAAGAGCCTAGGATTCCAGAGGCAGGTTCTGTCATATACTGGCTGTGTGGCCTTAGGCAAATTACTGAACCTCCCTGGGCCTCATCTGCCTCATCCATAAAGTGCAAATCAAAATAGTGCCTACTTGGTAGGGTTCTTATGAGGATTAAGTTAGTTGGCATTTTAAAATATTTTGATAATATGTAACTTTAAAAGTGCTTAAATCTGGCAGGGAGTAAGCACTGTAGGTTTTGTTAAATAAAAATTAACAACACATGCAGGGCTCTCAGCAGAGGTCTGGCATAGGCACTGTAAACAAGTAAAAAGCAGCAAACTCAGGAGAAATGACACCCATACACACCTAGAAGTGGCAAAACCCCTGGGAAAGATGTGTTAACCTAACCATGTTAGATGGGAACATCTGAGGCCAAAACTAAGGGGTTTCTGGGGGACAGGCCTGGGTGAACTGAAGAAGGGGACTTCCAGGGCTCGTACCCAATGGACACTTTTTTCTCTCCCATAGATTCCGAATCTACTCAAACCAGTCTGCCCTGGAGTCACTGGCGGTGAGTTGGGAATGGTGGGTGGGCAGAGGCTGAGGTCAGGGGCTGGCAGCTAGGGCAAGCCCACCCCCTGCTCACTGACTTCATTCTTCCTCCTTCCCAGTTGATCCCACTGCAGGCTCCTCTGAAGACCTTGCTTCAGATTGGGGTGATGCCCATGCTCAACGGTAGGGTTGGGGGATGTGAGGGAGGGAGGAAGGAGAGGGGAGCCGAGCAGGCCCAGACTGAGCCAACTGCTCCTACTGACAGAGCGGACCTGGCGTGGGGTGCAGATCCCGCTACCTGAGGGCATCAACTTTGTGCATGAGGTGGTAACGAATCACGCGGTGAGTACAGGGTGATGGGGAAGGAGGCAGGGCCTTCCTCTCCCTCCACAGCTTTCCAGTGCCCTCCAGGAATGACTCCAACTCTTCCCTTATCAATTGCCCTTACATTTTAATATTATATCAGATACTCCCCCACCCCCAGCCCACTGAGGCATAGGCTGTGCCCTCCCCTTGAGTACTCTTCAGACTCCACCCCCAAGGCCTACTCACTTTTCAAATCTCATCTAAGACCTCCTCCAGGAAGCCCTCCTTGACTCCCACAGCTGTGCTCCTGCAGCCTCTTTTTCAGGGAGTTATTAAGACCATTTTGCCACTCCCTCTCTCCCACTAGATTGAGAACCCCCACCCCAAGCCTGTCTCTGTCTCTAAGCTCTGGCCTCAGTAATTGAATGAAGACTCCCCTCTTTGCCCGGCTGCATAGGGCTTCCTCACCATTGGAGCTGACCTCCACTTTTCCAAAGGGCTGCGAGAGGTGATTGAGAAGAACCGGCCTGCCGACACCAGGGCGCCCCGGGCGTCAGGTGCCCCGCCACCCTCCACGGCAGATGTTTGAGCCCTCAGTCCCAACCCTGGCAGCTGTGTTCAGGACTCAGACACCTCTTGTCCCCTCCCTCACCTGCTCACAGCCTATAGTGTCCTGTCTATAGTGCCAGTACCACAGAGAAGATGTGGTTTTTAAAGCTGTATGCAATTTAATTCCATAATTGCAGTCAGTCTATCAATTACAGTCCATCCAGCCTCCTGTGGGCTGTCCTGAGCTCCTCTGTGTTCCAGTGCATTAAGGGCATTTTAAAGCCAGGAGGGGGCGAGGCCCCTGTCCCCCATGTGCCCAGTTAGGAATAAAGTGCTAACTCCCCCCCATTGTCTGTGTGAGGCACTGGAGCGTGGTTCGGGGTGGGGGGCGGGGGGAGTTCTGGAGGCAGGGACCTGCCCCGCAGGGGCATTCTGCATAAAGGAGGACCTCCCTCCTGGCAGGAGGGGCTGGGGGGGCCAGGAGGTGCTGCATCAGGCAGTGGAAGACTGGTCCCTGTGGCCATCAGTATGGCTGCTTAGTCAGGAAGCGGGAGAACATGGTTAGGGCAGCCTGGGGCTTGTCTGTCGGTACCATGTGTCCGGCGCCCTGAGAAACAAAGCTTTGTGGGCTTCTCTCCCTGGACAACCCCTGTCCCTGGATGCTTCCTTCATCTTTCTGGATCCCTCAAGTCAGACCTCTCCCCCCAGCCATGCCCCAAGCTGTCCATTCTTCCCATTCCCTGAGAAAACGTGCCCTTACAGGGGCCAGATGGTAACCCAGTATAAACTGATGCCAGAGGGAAGGGAAGGTGGGGGTGAGAGGGTCCTGCCCCCATTCCTTCTGGCTCCAACTAGCCCTCTCCAGGACTGGGTCCTACCTTGATGGTGAGATAGGCAATGTGGGAGAACTCCTTCACGAAGCCAGCAATCTGCTCCCCACTGTCCCCGTAGTCCACTAACCAGGGCCGGCGCTGTACCTCCACCTGCCCCACCAGGAAAGACTTAGCAGCCTGCAGCTGCCAGCAAGACCTCAGGGTCCAGGAACACCTCCAGGTTTGCCGTCTGCCAGAGCCAAGCTGCCAGCACACACTGCCTTACCCTGGGCCTGGGCTCCCCACCTTACCTTCTGGTTGAGGGAATCCACAAACCACTCATCCCCCATGAAATTGCAGGCCATGTCCACATCTCCATTGTATAGCAGAATCCGGTATTTCTGGAGCAGAGCAGGGACAATGGAGTGTTTGGAATAAGCCTACGTCCTAGCCCTTCCCTAGGTCAAGGCCTACCCTCAGGGAATCCAAGGGACCCCACTAAAGAGCATGAACCAGGAAATGCTCGTGTTTTCTGACTGCTTCCTATACATCCAGTGCTCTACCTGTAAGGTAGATGCCATTATTCCCATTTTACAGATGGGGAAACCAAGTCTCAAGATATGTGAGAAAATTGCCTGGGGTCACATAGCTAGTAAAGGACTTGTACCCAGGCAATCTGACCCCAGAGCCCACATTAACCACTATGCTGTACAGAACTTGGTCCTAACCTGGCTCTGCCAGTGTTTCCTAGGTGACCTTAGACAAGGCCCTCTCCCACCATGGAACTGTTTGCCCGTTTATACCTCCATCTGACTGGCTCTTTTCATCCTAAAGGCTCCTTGGCTGATGCAGATCCCTTAGCCTCCTACAGCAGAGCAGCATGGGGTGAGGACAAAGCTGGGTTCAAATCCTGACCCTGCTAACCACTGGACCTTGGGCACATGACGTCACTGCTTGGGAGTTTCAGCTTCCCCCGTCCTGAGTGGTGCTCTAAGAGGCCCTTGCTTTGCCTGCTGCTCTGGGGCCCCGATGCTGCTGGTGGACCCGGCTGTGCTGCCCCCACTCACCTGTGCGGTGAGCAGCTTCAGATACTGGGAGTTCATGCTTTCGTAGAGACGGCGGTAGTGTATATTCACCAGGAAGCTGTGGGAGCAGAGGGTAAGCCCCAGGGTGACCAGGTAGGAGAAAGAGAATCAACAGATCAGACCTCCTCCCCTATCCTCAAGTTCCAGCCTAGGAGGCACACAGCTGGGATTCAGCCCCCTCCTTGCACATGTCACCTTTCTAGGACTTACCTGAATGAGGACTGGAATTCAGAGGGTATCAACCCACTCCCATTTAGAAACACATGGGAACACTGGTGATTACAATGGCTGGGATGCAACCGGTATTTAGTACATAGGGGTCATCCAGTTTGACAGCACAGCAAGTACAGCAGAGTACGGATGGGGGCTGACCAATCAGGAGGGACCTGAGTGGCCCCTGTCGTGCCAGGTGGCTCCCTTTCACTTGCAGGGGTCAGAGGAGATCTGGGCAGCTGGGATGGTATTGGGGCAAGGGGTTAGGGAGAGTGTCTGTACTAAATACCATGGAACTAGTGGGTAGTTTAACAACCAATGTGGCCATGTAAGAATAAACTTGCTGAGTATCTATCAACATGGGGCAAATGTCCTATACAGCATCTCACTTTCACCCCCAGTGCCCATAGTGCCCCAAGCGAGAAGCCCTTCCTGGAGGATCCCTGGGAATCTTTCTGATGCCCACAAGCCAAATAGCCTGCCATCCCCCCAGGCCACAAGCAGCCACAGAACCTCACTTGCACATATCCCAGTGGGGCAGCTGCTCAGGGATGTGGAGGGCCTTCCGCACGAAAGGGTTGTTGAGGTAGGTGGAGGCGGCTGTGGTGTTGGTGCAGGGGGGGTCCATGCGCACTGTAGTCCCAGAGCGCAGCAGTACCTGGGGGGCATAGACAGAGGGTCAGGGTCTGCCCTTCCCTGCCCCGCCCTTGCCCACCCCACCAGAAGGAAGCTCGGTGCATTTGCACACCTGATGCCATGTCCGCTTGAGTGGCAGGCGAGTGAAGAGGCTGCCCAAGTCCTGGAATGACACAGTGTCACCCTCATACCTGCAAATGAAGTCAGGGTATGAGTGCCAGAGCCTCCAGAGGGGGCTGGAGTTGGCCCCAGGGGCACACAGCAGGGCCTACCTTAAATGGTTGGGCACCCCACCAGCACATGGTGCATAGAGGTTGTAGATGTTGAGGCCAGAGCCGCCCACGATGCAGGACACTTCTTGAAGCTGCAATGACACACTGAGCTGCCATATACAGAATCCTGGCCTCCCTACTGGCCCCAAGATTTATCACTCTCCTACTTCACCTCCTGTCATAATCCTTCTCCACTTTTTTCACAGGTAAGGAAACTGAGGCTCAATGGAAGCAACCTTCAGACCTGGGTCCAAATCCTAGCACCACTGCTTCCAAACACTGTGACTTCAGGCAAGTGATTTTAACATTTGTGGCCTCAGTTTCCTCATCTGGAAAATGTGGATAATACCATCTCCCTTGAAGGAGAATCTCTTGATAGAGCTCAGCTCACTGCCTGGCACCTCATAGGTGTCTGATGAGTGAGAAGCCCTTTCCCTTCCCAGGGGTTACAGGACTGGCCCAGAAAGTCATCAGAAGTGGTGGTGGGAACATATCCAGAGACATGTGTCCCAGAGAACACCAAGTTGCCAAAGGATGTGGGATAGGAAAGCAATGGGGGCAGGGAGTCCCCCAGGAGAGGATGTAGTCCTGTGCTTAGGATTGGGGGTGTCAGGGGTGACAGGTTGGGCGCAGAACCTCACATTGGTCACACATTCTGGGTCTTTGTTGTCGTAGAAGTTACACTTGTTTTGAGGGCAGCAGTGGGTCTGGAGGGATGACCAGAGCCTGTTGGAGATGAGAGAAAGTGCTGAGGCCCATGGTGGGCACCCCACCTCCTCCCTCCAACCTCCCCCCACCACGCAACCCCAGGACATGAGGAGACAGACACAGGGTGCAGTACGTAAGTCCCAAACAGCTTTCCTGGGGCCATACTGCCTGTCTGCCTTAGTCCCTTCAAATTCAGATCTCAATTCTTACGCCTTTCAGCACCAAACCTTCTGGCAACCCCAACCCCCACCTTCAGGTCATAAACCAAAGCATGGCCTGGAGGACAAGCCTTGAATCCCATGACCTGCCCCACCCTGGAGATTACCCAACTGCCCCCCTCCCATAATACCTGTTCCCCAGAAGGCCATGGTAGTAGGCGAAATAGACCAGGGAGTTGTCATTCTGCTCATAGGAGGAGAGTCCATTGCCCACAGCCAGCCCCTGTGGAACACCCAGGGCATTGAGCTCCTCTGGACGGTGAAGAGGAGGAGCCTCCCTTGACCTCCACCCAGACCTTTAGCAATCTGGAAGCTGAAACCCAAGGTGGTTTGTTGGGGCAGGTGTGTGTGGGAGGCCACTCAAGGTAAAGAACAGAGCTGACAGCCTGACAGGTGAGCTTCCTGTCATGGGAGACACATGAGCAGAGACAGGCAGCTACTGGCATGGATGTTATGAAGGAGCCAGTGCTGGATGGGCGAGTTGGCCTCTGGACCTTGCTAACCACAAGACTATTATGACCACAGGTGGCCTCTCTTCCCTGCTGCAGCAGTGCTGCACCTGAAGGTTCATGCTGGGGTCCTGCATGACCAACACAGCCAGGGTGGGGACGTAAATGCCGGCATAGCTCTCTCCTGTCAGGAAAAGCTCATTGTCCTTGTACTCCGGGAAAAGGTGGAAGAAGTCTTGAAGGGCCTCAAAATTGCTCTGGGCGACCTGGGCAAGAGAGGATGGAAGAAATCAGTAGGCTTTGGTATTTGAGCTGGAAAGAAACTCAGAGGTAAGGACCCGACCCTGTTTGTACAAGGGGAAGTGACCTGGCCAAGACCACACCATATGGCACGTGACAGAACCAAAACTGGACTCCAAGGGCACTTTTTCTCCCAGCACCATTCCACTTTTGGAGAACCGGGGACGCTTGGGCATGTGGGGAGGTGCCAGACTTACCTCCGTGTCATTGGTAGCATAAGACTTGTCAGTAGAGTAGGAGAAGCCCACCCCGGCTGGAGACTCAAGGTACAAAACGTTGGCAATCTAGAGGGGAGGAGGAATGAGCTAAAAGGGTTCCCCACCCTATCCAAGTGCCCAGATACCCAACAGGACCCACAGCTCCGGCTATACCAGGTTCCAAGAATAGGGGTTATACTTCAGGGTGGCACCATCTGGCTGGACCTGAAGAGGAAAGAAAGGTCTAATTTGGAGGGCCAAATGGGTGGAGGGAAAGGGTGTTGAGCACCTTCCATTCAGGCAAAACTCAGATGTAGAGTCAAGCCAATGGTACAGAAAATGAAACGGAGGCTCAGAAAAAGGATACATTTTTGGAAAATCACCATGTCCTTTCCCCCCTCTTCCCGGTTCCTTTCCTTTGGGAGCTGTCCCCTTCCTCTCCCTTTCCTGGGTAAGGGAGGAGAGAGCTGCTTACCACTCACCAGAAAGGGGCCATGCTCTGTGAGCAGGCCATCCAGGGAGCTGCAGCCCGGCCCTCCGTTGAGCCAAAGCACCACGGGGCTGCTCTGGGGATCCTTCTGGGACTCCACAAACCTGGGAGGGGTTTCAGGGCAGGGCGGGTGCAAGGTGAGGGGCCCCTTCCAGCACTCCCTGCTCCCAGGCCCGCTCAGGGGTCTTCGCCATCCACCCCCACCCGCCCCACGTCAGTTCCCGGGGCTGGTGGGAGAAACGCAGACCAGTAGTGGAGCCGTTTGGACCCGGAGCCTCTGAGGTAGCCGGAGTACTGGCGGAAAGACGGCTGCTTGGCCAGCCCGGGCAGGGACTGGATCTCGTCCTGGTCGGGGGCGGCCTGGCCTCGGGGCGCCCAGGATAGGAGCAGGAGCAGCAACGGCGGCGGCAGCGTGGCTCGCACCATCTGCAGGAGGAAGCGGTGCCTGCTGTTTCCGCGCTCCCGGGCGCCTCAGCGCTTCCGTGCACCCACCCCGGGGAGGACCGGGAGGCCCCGGCCCAGCCCCAGCTCCCACCCATTCGGCCTCCTCCCCCGGGCACCGCGCACCGCTCGGGGGCTCCGGGATCTCTTCCAGCCTCCTGGATCCCCTCACCTCGGCTCCTTGGGTCCTTGCTCTTCTGGAGGTGCCCGGCGACGGGAGGTCATGTGTACTCTTTGAGTCACGTGTGCTCCGGCGTCACGTGAGTAATCGGGGGCGCCGTAGGGGATGGAGAGGGCGGCGGCGGTCCAATCCGGGTTGGGTCCCCAGGGCCAGGTCGTATCCCAGGCACCTGCAGCCCCCAGGTGTGAACGATCAGGCTTGCCCCAGCGTTCCACAGCTCCGTTCTAGGCGGTGTGGCTGAGCAAGCGGCACTAGGACGCCCCGGGCAGAGCCCCAAGGGAGGGAGTCCGGAGGAAATACCTTATAAGGTGACCGAGCGGTCACCCGTTGACCGCCGCCCAAAATAACCCTGGCTCTTGCTACCCTGCCTCATGGCCGGGAGATGGCTGCTGTTCCCGACCCCGTGGAACTGGGTGCGCCCTGGGGACCCGTGCGCCCCGAGCCCCCTCCCACCCGCTTCCACCAGGTACACGGGGCAAATATCCGCTTGGACTCCTTGGGGACGCGGGCCACACGCGTGGAGAGTTTCGCCCATGGCGTGTGCTTCAGTCGCGAGCCGCTGGCCCCGGGCCAGGTATTCCTAGTGGAGATCGAGGAGAAAGAGCTGGGCTGGTGCGGTCACCTGCGCCTCGGCCTAACTGCGCTAGACCCCACCGGTCTGGCTGCCGTGCCCGAGTTTTCGCTGCCCGACCTGGTCAGCCTTGGCCACACTTGGGTCTTCGCCATCACGCGTCATCACAACCGCGTGCCCCAGGAGGGCCGCCCGGAGGCAGAGGCAGCAGCCCCCAGCCGATCCTCAGCCCTCCTGGTGGAACCATATCTGTGCATCGAGCAGTTTCGCATTCCCCGCGATCGCCTTGTGGGCCGCAGCCGGCCCGGGCTCTACAGCCACCTCTTGGACCAGCTCTATGAGCTGAACGTGCTGCCTCCGACTGCGCGCGGTAGCCGCCTGGGCGTTCTCTTCTGCCCACGCCGGGACGGCACGGCAGACATGCACATCGTTATCAACGGCGAGGACATGGGCCCCAGTGCCCGGGGACTGCCTGCCGCCCAGCCTCTCTATGCAGTGGTGGACGTGTTTGCCTCCACCAAGATCGTGCGCCTGGTCCAACTGGAATATGGCTGTAGGTATCCCATCCCTAGGCAGCGACCCCTCCTGGCCCAGTGTGGGGATAAGAACTTGATAGGACTCCCAAGCCCGCTAGCAAGGCCTTGGTCTGTCCAGCATTGTTTTAAAAGTTGGGGAATCTGACTTCAAATTCTGTCTCTGCCTGTGATCTTGGACAAGTCACTCCCTGATTCTGGGCCTTAGTTTACCCATCTTGGCTGTGATGGATTAGGATGCTGTCCAAGTTCCCCTTCGGCTTTAATGATATTTTCTGTATTAACCTAGGGCAGGGATTCTAAACAGATTTTAGATCTGGGCCTCTTTGATAATTGTATGCTCTTTTATGAGACAAATGCTCATAGATTTGGGCATACCAGTTTAAAGACATCACAGAATCCAGATTGAGAGTTTCATAATCCCCAGGTCTGGTTCATTATAGCCCTGTTAAGCCCATTATTTATACTTCTGTTCACATCTGATGAATTCAGTGAACTAGAACACACCCAGTGTCTGGCCTCTGCTGGAGGCTAGGCTCCACAGGTAAATCAGACATGTGCCCTATGCCCCCGAAGCTGCTGAGGGAGGGAGAAGGAGGGTGCTGAGTGTTATCATAGAAATACAGCTGCAGCATTGTGCAAGTATTGTGAAAGAGGTGCTTCTCTCAACCACACCAACAGCCCTATGGAGTGGGCTGGGCCTGAAAAGCAGAAGGGACTTGCCCCAGTTAATGACAAGGGGGGTCCAAGACTTAGATCTATTGGATCTCAGCCTCAGGTCCACCATCCTGTTCAGTTTGCCTTTGACAGCCTTCCTTCCATAGTGCCATCCCTGCAGACGCTGTGCCGCCTGGTGATCCAGAGGAGCGTGGTGCACCGGCTAGCCATTGATGGGCTCCACCTGCCCAAAGGACTTAAGGATTTCTGCAAGTATGAGTGAAGGCCTGCAGCCACCCTGAAACAGAGCCACAGGAGCATGTCCTGGTGCCAGAGCTGTGGCTGGTCTGAAGCTGGCCATGTTGCTGCCAGCCCGAACTAGAAATAAACACAGCTGATGCTGACACTGGTCATGGGAAGGTCTCCTTGCCCCTGAAGCCTATGAGGGGCAGTTCTTTTAGAACCACTGGGGGTCAGCAGGTCAGAGTTAAGAAAGAGCATTTGAGACATCAACTAGCTGAATGGTTCCTGGGTTGGCTACTTGTTGGAGTTATGTGGGGTACTTAGAGTGCAAATCTCATTGGATTTGCTGGAGGATTAGGCCTAGACATTGGTTTTTTGTAAAAGCTCCCCTGGAGTGTCTCATGTATGGCTAGGGTTGAGAAGCATTTCCCTAAAACAGAGGTCTTAACTTCAGCATGTAACAACTTAAGGAACTTTGAAAAATACTGATAACTGGGTCTGACCCTGGGATTCTGATTTAATTGGTCTGTGATAAGGCTGGGCATCAGAATTTCTAAAGACTCCCAGGAGAATCCAATGTGCAGCCTGGTGTGAGAATCAGTGCCTTAGGCCAACATTCACTTTGCAGATGGGAAACTGAAGCCCAGAGATGGAAATGTAACCCAAGATCATAGCAAGTCAATGAATGAGTTTTCCGACTCTCACACTACAGGGCACAAAGCACTAGGCTCCTTTATTTGTATCTTTGATCATTTGCTTCCATACAAATGATCTCATTTAATCCTCACAATTTCTGGTCATGTGGTGGGCATTCAATATCCCCACTTTACAGATGAGGATCTCAAGGAATTTAACTGTCCAGGTAACTTGCCCAAAGTAAAGGTAAGAACCCAGAATGCCCAGTTCCTGGTCCAGCACTCTTTTAGTCCCATCCCATTGTCATATAGAGGTTCTAGAATGAAGAGGTCAATGCTATGAGGTGGGATCCAGATGTAAAGGGGAGGGACTATGAGGTGACATTCTAGAAGGGTGGAGAGGGTAGGACAAAAGGCAGAGGACTGTTCCCTCACAAACACAGGCTTGGGGCAGCCATGTCCTATTTCATTTCTCTGCAAACTCATCCATGTCTGCCTTCTGGCCAAGGTGAGACAGGCTCCTGGAATTGGAGGGGGTACAACTTTCTCTCAGAACTTGTTTCCTGCTCCTGGGGAGGTAGAGGTTCTGGGCATTTTGGAGCTGGCCCTGGAGTCCATTTTCTTTGAAGAAAAGGCATTCACAAGGTCTTGCCAATAGCTGCCTACTGGCTCACTCATTCAGTAACACTTCTCTATCACCTACTCGGTGGGGACTAGGGGTGTGAATATGAGTAAAACTTAGTTCCCAGTCCCTCGACTGCCTCTTGGGCTGGTCTTAATTGCTTCTGCTCCTCTGCCTTGCCCCTCAGGCCTTCCTCCTCAAAGAGACCAAGAGTAACATACCATCTCATTCCTGTCTCTACAGGTGGGGCCGCTTCTCCAGGCTCATCCCTTGGCCTCCATAGTCCCAGAGAGCCAGTGGTGGCCTCTGGTGGAGGCCCACTGAGCCAGAAAGCTGAGCAGGTGGCACCTGCTACCCAGGCCTGGGGTCCACCCTTGGCAGTGCTGGAAGTCAGGGGCTTCCCTGGGGGTGCTGGCTGGGAGACACTGCGGTGGAAAGAGTACAGCCAATACCACCACGAATTTCCCGACATGAGGCAGCCAAAGAGCGTGGGCTGGGAGGATGGCTGCTCCAGAAGCAGAGCTCCCCACCTGGGTGGCTCCAGCAGGCCTGGGCCCCTGTTGCTGTGTGGGCTGTCACCAGGAGTTCTGCGTATGCCCGCTGAGGCAGGGGGGAAGGAGGCCAGCACCCACCCTGACATCTGCATCCTCACGCTGGCTATGATGATTGCCGGCATCCCCACTGTGCCAGTCCCAGGCCTGCAGGAAGAGGACCTGATCCGGGCAGCTCAAGCTTTCATGATGGCCCATCCAGAGCCGGAGGGGGTCTGTGGAAGAGGAGCCGTGGGAACAGGTGCAGGCCCATGAGGCCTCTGGGAAGGTGCTCCTAGTGAGACCCAGGAGGGGCCAGCCTCCTGGCTCCTGCTTGTAGCTGATGAAATAGCACCAGACAATAGGGTGGCTTCTCTGTATGGTTTTTGGGCAGACGAGGTTGGGGGTGCCTATGGCAGGGATGGGGAGAGGGTGGTGGTTTGAGCCACTCTGATGAACATGAGTCCTTCATCAGGGCCCAGACTCCAGGAAGTTAAAGTTTCTTCAGATACCACTAAGCCAGGAGACAGATCTTGTCATTGTAGTTATATTGAAAATTACCTGTGGTAGGGGCCCTGCTTGGATAGTGGAGGCTTCTTTGTACAGTTTTGGGACTCAATCGGAATTTCTTGTACAAAGTCCTAGGCAATGTGAATTTTCCTCTTGGCTCACATTTCCCTGCCTGCTAAGGGCAGGTGATGGGACCATACGCAAGGGAAGAAAATTAACTTATTGACCACCCATTAGGCATCGGGGCCCATTACATGCCTCTTCTGCTTTAGTCTTACCAACACTGTGGGGCTCTCCATGTTTACAAATGAACAATTGAAGCTCAGAGAGGTGACTTGCCTGTAGTCTTACAGCTAGGAAAAGGCGGAACCAGGCCTCCAAAGCTAGGCAGAGGAGAAACCAGGATTCACATGCAGTGTCAGACTCCAAAGTCTATTCTTTCCATGGTATTTCTTACACTGCCTTTTGCAAGATAAAAAAGTAGACAAGTGCTAGACTAGGCAACATTCAACTTTAATGAGCTCGGACTGGGACAGGGAACAAAGACTGGGGCCTGGCTGAGCCTCAGAGGGGCCTTTTCCTCTGGGTCAGATGAGCCCTCTCATTACTGGAGAAGCCTCACCAGGCCCTAACCCTTGATCTCCACCCAATGTCTTTATCTCTTAGAGCAGGGGTCACCTATTTTTGTAAGGCCCTTGAACCAAGAATAGTTTTTAATTTTTTGAAAAGTTTGTAAAACAACAAAACCAGGAATACACAACAGAGACAGTACATGGCCAGTAAAGCCTAAAATATTTACTATTGGGTTCTTTACAAAAAAGATCTGACTCCTGTCTTAGGAAAATGGACACATTTTAGGTAGGGGGCTGCAAGAGAATAGAAGACCCTTGTCCTTTACTGGAAGGAGGGCCCATGGACGTACAACGATGTGGGTGTGGGGGTGTGAGTAGGGATGGATGTGAGTGTATGAGCAACTCCAGACACTGAGGCTAATCAGAGCTGGACCTGCTCATAAGGGCCGATCCAGCCGTCGGCCAGTTCCCGCAGGGTGCTGTACCGCCGCTCAAACTCCTCCTGGCTGCAGTGCTGCAAGAGCTGACCCACCTCCTCTGTGAGGAGAGTCACTGCCAAGCGCTTATCCAGGGTCTCACTCCACCTGCTCCCCAGGATGTGATCTAGACTGGCAGCACAGCCTGCTGTCCACTGAGCTGGCAGCATGTTAGGCTGGAGCACCTGGTGGTGGGCACTGAGCATGGCTAGGATGTGGCGGCAAGGCAGATGGAAGGCCTGGTGAAAGTAGCAGCTGCAGCTGGCAGGGGGCTGGAGCTGTACCCTGTGGGTGTCCTCCAGGATCTGTATGTTCACCTTTTCTGAGCCATAGCTAATGAGGTGCACGGATTTCTGGACGACGGCAAGCTCACCCAGGCAGAGTTGGGCTGCTGGCCCTGTGCAGATAGCATTGAGAGACTGCTGGATGTGGGCTTCTACCAGCTGTTCCACTTTAGGGCTTTTGGGGCTGACATCTGAGGAGGCATGACTGTCTTGGCGACTCAGGCCCAGGCTGAAGCTTGCCTTGTCTCCAGAGTTCTGCTGCATATAGCGGAGCAGAGAGGCCATGCCTTGTTCCACAGAGTGGGTAGTGCCAAAGAACTGGCTGAGGATACGGGTGGTGACCTCCAGGCCTTGGAAGTAGCGGCTACTCTCAGCTCGGCTTCTCCAGCGGTGAGCCAGCCAGATTCGGTCATTGAGCAGCCAGTGTGAGTGAAGTTCAGGCATCTGGGCTGGGGGGATGCAGTTGGTTAGGAGTGTATATAACTTCCTCAGATTGCCAGCTGTGGCACAGCACATTGTGCTCTGCAGGGAGGTCAAGAGCACCCTCTCTACAGGCTGTTGAAGGGACAGCTGATAGAACTTGCCCTGGAGGAACTTACAAATGTGAAATGCTGAGAGCAGGACCTCGGCTGCAGGGAATTCCATAGCTAAGGTGGGCAGGGGGAGGAAGTGGGGATCCACTAGGATGGTACAGACTCTCTCCCATGCTGGGTTAAACTTCTTGAACACCTGGAACATCTGGGCCAGGCCTTCAGGATCCTCCTTGGCAGGAATGGCAAAGTAGACTGCTCGGGCCAGATGACCCTCCAGCTGTACCCGAGGTCCATCTACCAGAAAGGTATATAACACCTTGCCTCTTGGGTTATAGGTCCGGTGGATAAATAAGATTTCAGGGAAATGGGCAAAAACACCTTGCATCAAGCAGCTCTGATAGTTGAGGGTTTCTAACTGAGCAGTCTTGCTAACCTGATACAGCAGCATAGGTGGGCTTGGGTCTTCAATCAGGAGCTCATTCAGCATTGTCAGGGCCATGGGGGAGGTGGGAGATCTCTAGATGCCAAGGCCAAAATACTTTCTCTGCGAGGCTGCTGTCTAGAAGGCTCTCAGTCTCTCAAAACTCCAACTAAGTTGAGGCTTGAGGCTAGACTGTACTTCCCAAATCTTGTTCCAAAGATGGGCCTATGGAGAAGGACAGAGGTTTAAGGAGACAGTAAGGGCTTGGCTCTACAATGATTCATCCAGACAATATTTATTGCTTACCATGTATCAGCACTGTTCTGGGGAGATACATAATAAACACATAAACAAACAAGTATGTATCAGATAATGAAGATTACAAAGACCACAGAACTGGAGTAAGTTGGGGGTGGGAGGGATACTTTAGTTAAGGTGGCCAGGGAAGCCCCCAGCTGGTGGGAATGGGGAAAAATGACGTTAGAGGTGAGACCTAATTAATAAGAAGCCAGCCAAGGAAAGATTTGGCTCCAAGAGATTTAAATAACTCTGAAGGCCAAAGCTGCACCTGATCTTTTTTTTTTTTCTCCTTAAATAGCATTTTAAATATCTGTATAGCACTTTCTATTTACAAATTACTTCTTGGCACCCATTCTTTCTTTTGGTGCTGGTATATACAAGAGAACTGCAATTGCCCCAAACTTGCTGTGTGATCTTGGGCAAGCCGGTGACTGCCTCTGGACCTCAATCCCTTCAACCATGAACTGGGGCTAGCAAATGTGCATAGCTTCTCCTTCCTCTATGTAAATCCCTCTATTACTTGTAATACTCTGTTCACGTTTCCTCTATTTGGTCCCAAACCAGGTCCCAGTCCCCATTTTACGGATGAAAAACTGAGGTTCAAAGGTGTTTAGTGACTTGTTCACCATTACTAAGTAGCTGGAAGCCGAGTCTTTGGCTTGAAATCTTGATTCAGGGATGGAGAGGAGATGCAGCCTCTGACCTCTCACCTCTCATCGGGATGGGAGGATGTGGCAGTCTGACATTCCTATTCGAAGTACGGCCGGAGCGTGAAGTCAACCTCCCACCCCTTTGGGAGTTGCGTCATGGCTGACCGCGGTCACCAGCTGCTTCACACACCCACTCCTCCCAAAATCACTCACCCACAATCTGGCTCGGCCGCCATTTCTCCCTATTTGACCCTGCCTCTCAGTCTGACTGACCTCTAGGCTCACCAACCGCGGCGCCAGCTTTCCGCCGCGACTCAAACCAATGGCCTGAGGAATTCGCTATCGGTCTTTGGAGCACAGACCAATCGCAGTTCAGCAGCTCATGGGCGGGAGCTGCTACCATGGTTACGAGGCTCTGGCGATAACCAACGAGAACCTGAGGACATTTGCATCCAGGAGCGGCCCCTGGAACGGCGTGTTGCTATGAAAACTCCCTCATGGGCCGAAAATGAAAAGCAAAATAAATACGGGTTTTTTCCCCCCTTTCTGGTCAAATCTGATTCTAGCGGGGTAGGAAAAGGGGCCTAGGTAGTTGTACTGCGTCTTCCGCCTTATGGGCAAACGAAGTCCCAGGTCTCCCTGGCTCTCCATTAGCGGTGAGGGGCTCAACTCTAGGAGTGGAGGAAATCCAGATCTTGAGGGAGCTGTTGCCCAGCCCAACCCCCTCCAGTATTTCCCAAAAGAGATCCAGAATGGCACAGTGACTTGTTTTAGGTCACTGTGAATTGGCTCAAGAACCAAGACCGCCTGACATCTTTTGACCTCAGTTCCCCTAAAAAACACATCTTGGAAAACTGGGTGGCTTTAGAGGATTAAGATTACAAACCAGCAACAAGTACTTATAACTGCAATGAAAATGTTCAGTTTATATAAACCTCCAGGGGAAATTAAGAATAGAAGCAGCAACACACTTATTTTTACAGATGAGGAAAACAGAGAAATAGGGACTTGCCCATAGTCCCCCAGCAATTTTGGGGCAGTCAACTCTAGGATTCAGGTTCTTCCCTCCCAGTCTATTTGGCCTCCACCTGCCAGAATACAAGGCAGCCTGAAATCAGTGTTGACGTCTTGGATAGCAGGAAGAGGGTGGAGTATGTGGTGAACTGTTAAGTCTTTGAACTTGAGGCATCAGGATGTTTGGCTCCTCAACCCCCATTACATTCCCTCCCTATTCAAGCACCCTACATTTCCTCAACTTACTTGATTTTATTAAAAACAAACTTTATTTAATATGAATAAAAATTAAGTCCAAATAACAGATTCTTTGTAAATAGCAGCAATAGCCAAAGGATCGCCCTCCTTTCCTTTGTCCCCACAAACAGGCCCCTTTGTCAGGTCCATTTCATCTCACCTTATCCTGGAACAGAGAGCTTATCTACATAAAGTGAGTAAGATCTGATCTCAGGAGTTGGGGGAGAAAGAGGGGTGACCTTTCAGCACTGAGATAACTTTGGCCTTGAACAATGAATGAGGCTCCCAAGGAATGACAAAGGTAGGGCAGAAAAGAGGCAGATTTAAAGGACTGTCACTCCGTGGGGATCCTCTTCTCCCTATTGTAACAATCCTCCTAGCCCTACCTGGGAAGACTGATTAAAATGCAGACAGATCCCTAGCAAGCTCTGCCCACTTTGAGCTCTCAGATTTACAAGGAAAGGGGTTTGTGGCCCAATGCACCAGCATGAGAGCTTCAATCACGAAGTGTGGCTCCAGCAAGAGGGAGTCCCTCCCCTTCCTCCTGCTTTCCCCAGAGGAAAGGGAGGCAGCCCACATCCTTGAAGTCCCCTGGCTGCTGATTGGGCTCAGGCGGCTGGCAGGGGTCAGCCCAGATATCCACAATCTTGCGTAAGGTGGAACAGCGTTCCTCCAGCTCTGGCCCCTCACTCTGCATTAGCAGGTTTGCTAGCTCCCGGCTTAGGTCCTGAATCATGTTGTTCCGTCCTTGCTTCCCAGGCTGGCCTGCGTTTGGGAGCACGACAGGGTCCTGGAGCTCCCCACTGGGCCCAAGGAGGTGCTGGTACCTCTTCTGCCACCGGCGGCACACCATGGCTTCCCCCACGGGCCTCTGGCTGGTGTACAGCAGGGCCAGAATATGCCGGCATGGCAGGTGGTACCACTGTTGAAAGGAGCAGCTGCAGCTACAGCCGTCTTTGCTAACCTGATGAGAATCCTCTAGCAGCTGAATGTCCACTGAGGAGCCAGCAATGTCCAGTAAGTGCGTGGAGTTCTGAACCACCTCCCACTCACTGTGGCACAGCTTATAGGCCAGTGCAGAGCCACTCTGCTGCAATGTGTCCAGCATGCCACCCTGGGAGGCCTGCACCTGTGGCTGCTGCTGTAACTGCACCTGCTCTGGCTTTGTCTCTTCCACAGGGAGCCTGAGAAGCCTCTCTCCACAGATTGAAAAAGCTTTCTTAGACTTTGGTGGCATGCTTGCTGGCCGGGCTCTCTTTAACCTGAGAGGAGCTGTAGGCAAGTTCTTCAAGCCTTTGATATTAAAGAAGTCTATATAATCCACAAAGCGCAGGATACAGTCCAGTAGGGACTGCTGCTCCCGAAAGAGGCTTGACACCTTGCTGGTGACAACGTCTAGGCTGTCCATGTATGTGTTACATGCGTGCAGGCCTTTCCTAACATGCATGTACCACAGCAGTTCACAGGAGAACCAGTGGGTCTGCAGGAAGCTGAAGAGCCCCTCATCTAGTAGGGCTTGGGACATCTGACAGAGATTTTGCAGGCTGGCATCAGAAGTGACAAATACAGCCTTCCGCAGGGCTTCTTTCATGAGCCATTTAAAGGATGGATTGGCTGAACTACGATGCAACTTCTTCTCTAAGAGTCGGGTTGTGTGGTAGATGGAAAGGAGGATACGGGCAGCAGGGAAGATTTCCTGCAGGATGCCTCGATGAGGGAAGGACGGGTCCACAAAGACCACCTTGACCTTGGGCCAATCTGAGTTGAACTCTGTGAAGATACTCAGCATCTTGGCCACGGAGGTGGTTGTCTCAGTCTTAAGCACAGCAAAGTGTACTACTCGACCTTCTCGTTCTTTGTTTTCCACCAAGAAGGCATACAGGATGTGGCCCTGGGTGTTCTCCACCCTGTGCAGCAGGAGATTTTCTGGGAAGCGGATGAACAAATCACTCATCTTGCTGCTCTGAAAGCTGAGCCGGTCTAGGTCTTGGCTGTTGCCCACACTGAGGGAGGCCATGGAACCCTTATTGACCTTAAGAAAGTTCTTCATCACCTTTGCTATCTTGGTCAGGTCAGAAGACTTGATAACCTCCTGCTCTGGCTTGGAGGGTGCTTGAACCTTACCTAAGCCAAATGATGGTTCCACTGGGGACTTCTTGGCAGTTTCAAGGTCTTTTTTGATTGTGGGCTGCACAGGCTGGGGGTTCTGCAGGCACAGCGTCCTGTTAGAATTGCTAGCAGTGTCTTCTCCAGGACCCGTAGTTTTGGAGTCAACATGTATATGCTGGGTGTTGAGTTCACTGATAAACAGTCTATCCAGTTTCTCATTGTACCGCAGAAGCAAGTACGCTGGGCACATGTCCGCCTTGGGTGTTCTCTTCGTGTTTGATTGGGTCTGAATACAGACAAATTTCACCTGCACATATCTAGGGAGGTAGAGGTGACAATGAGAAAGGTGACCACCCTCTTTCTTTCACAAGGCAAGGCCCTGTATTGGCCTCATGGGGCTGATATGTTTCCTGGAGACCACAGTGCAGCATAGGATTACATAAGGAAGATTTATGTTCACTCACCAGCATTTAGTTCTTCAAGCTACTGACTAACTAAAACTCCCTTCATTTTCATCTACAACAATTCTAAGCCCCAACTCTTTCCACTCATTCCCTCTCTGTTGCCCATCTGTAGATGCCAACAATTCAATCTGAGGCAAGATACAAGGGAAAATTGACAAGAGGCATCAGCAGAGAGCCCAGCTGGTTACTGTTTAAAATGTCTCCTTCATTTTGCCTTTTAGGAACCATTGCCCCCTCCTTCTCCAGACTGCTAGGGTCACAGTGGCCCTCAGGGGTTAGGGTGTGCCTGGGCCTCATCTCTAAGAGGGAACATCTCTGTTCATCTTTCATTTAAAGAAAAACATCCACATCCTAAGAGAGTCTGAGAACTCTTAGGTGATCTTCAGGGTCCCGGCTAGGTTTGCCATTCTAGGATGAAAGGGGTGATTCAAAGGAGAAGGGTAAATTGAATGCTTGTCTTTTTCTCTTCCTATCCCCATTCCACCCATGCTTAAGGCCAAATCAGTCTGCCCTCTCCAGGAAGCCTTTATGGATATCCTCAAGCCACAGTAATTGTTCCTTTCTCTGAATTCATAGCATTTATTTAAAATAAAAGGCTTACCAGATTCTCCGGGGAGCTGTATATCCAGCAATTTAACAGTGCGGATGCTGAGGACTGACTGACTGGATTTGAATGAGGGCTTCACCACTGGGGAGCTGTGTGACCTTGGGCAAGTCACTTCACCTCTGCAGTTTCTCATCATAAAATGAGACTATCTTATTAGGGTTGTCTGAAGATTAGGTAAGCCACAGACATAATATCTAGCCCAAAGCCTGGTTTAGCCTTTTATTTAGGCTAAATTAAAGTCCTGCAGTTTTGTTACTATTATTACATCTCTCATGCCTTGTTGACACTCCCTTGGGTGTTTAAATACTACTTTTCCAATTGGATGGTGCTGCTTCAAGTGACAGGACTGTTATCAGGGCAGTCCAAGCACCCAACACAGTGCTATTCCTTCAATACTTATCAAAGGCATAAGGGTGAATGACTCATGGAGCACCAGTGGTGGGATGGGTCACACCCTGGCCTCCTCAGGGAGGAGTGTCTCAGACCAGGGGAGGGGAGAGAAAACCTTAACCCCTGCTGTGACATGACACAGCCCGGGTACCTCACCAACCCTTTTCCAAACACTCTAATCCAGCTGGTCCTGTCTGCCCACCCTGTAGGGCAAGCTTAGAAAAACAGGATATGCCAGGGCCACAATAACAGGGTGGAGGGGCCTGGTGCTGAAAATGCCTGTACCTGTGCACAGTGCTAGGGTAGCAATGTCAACACTAGCTCAGGGTAAGGAAGGGGCACGAGCAGCCCAGTAACATGGCAAGGCCTGTAAGGGGTGATGGTGGTGAGGCCTCTGCCTATCTCTCCAGCTTTGTTTTCCACCTGTCCCCACTTTGCTTTTGGTGCCCTACAAAGACAAACTGCCTACAGCTTCCTGTGTTCACTGTGCTGTGTCACCTTTGTGCCTTTGCTCATGTTTGTCTCTGTCTGGAATGCCCTCCCGATCAAAGCTAAGTTAATGCAGGCATAAGGTTTTATACTTTTCTGAATCTCCCTCAGAGCTTATGGCTAAGAGCACCCAACCAGGATTTGGAGGAATGAGTCACAGCTTCCTCCCAATGTCCTTTGCAGATGTTTATATTCCCCTGGTGGAGTGCGGTCAGTGTACACCCAGAGCACTGTACCAGGCACAGACTAGCTCCTCCAAACACACATACAGAATGAACTTTAAATGAGCAACTGTATGGCAGAGGAAGGTCTTATAAGAGGAATAGTATACTAGTGAGGGTACTGGGAGAGTTTGTCAGATAACCTGGCTTCCAGTCCCAGCACTATTAACAATAACTTTGGACAAGATCTTTGGTAAAGTTCAAACATATAGTAAGTCCTACAATGTACCAAACACTATATGAGTTGCTCAGAATGCTACAGAGTCTAATTAGATAGTCTCTATTCTCTAAATCTAGTGAGCAGAGAGATTGTCACATAGGTAGACAGTAAGTCAAAATTAAGTGAATGGTTACAAGTACAGGCAACATACTTACAACTGAATAAGGAGTGATTCACTCTATAGGAATTCATAAAGATTAACTAAAGGCTTTTGATTCATTTTGCGTAAGATCTGGGCCCTTACTGTATGTAAACTGCATCTTGGGCCACAAACAGGATTGTAACAGGTGGGATAAAGCCATTTAGACCATACAACCTAAGTTATGAACAAGACTCAAGTCAGAATATCTGAGTTTAAATTCCAGCTCTACCACTTATTAGCTGTGTAAACTTGGACATGTCACGTCACTTCCTCTAAGCCCCCAATTCCTTATCTATAAACATGGAAATAACAAGAGCACTGATCTATAAATCATCAGTAACCCATCCAAGAATAATCAGTACCACTAAAAGTAAATTAAAAGCTCTACAAGATCTGTTGGTGCCAAACCAACATCACTTAGCCCCCTTCTCACTTCCTAACAGAAGGCCAGCTCCATTCACGCTGCTACTCCTGCCCTACATAGCTAAGTGCTTCGGGGCTAGTTTAAGCCAATTAAGGTAATCTCATTAGGAATGGGCATGGATACTGGCCCAGTTCTGGACAAAGAAACATGATGGGAAATCTGTAGGAAACTGAAGGAAGGCTTTTTCTTCTGAATTGACTCCTGCCTTTGTACCCTGTGGGGACCCATCCTGAGGGCAAAGCTGAGTACTGAGGATGGCAGAGTAGGATACAAACAGCTTGGACCACTGGAACAATCACCTTCAAAAGCCCATCTCTGGGTTTCTAAGAAATAAACAATTAACATCCTCAGTTTTCAGTTAACTGCAGCCAAACACATCCCCAGGAACAACACTTCACAGTAAATGGTGATAAAAAAAAAAAATTGAGTAGAATTTATCTTAAAATGAGACTAAAATTACAAAGTTAATATATTTAACCAAATGTAGGTTATAATGGCAGCTATATGCCCATTCTTAGATCAAAAATGACTTAATGTGTCAGTTGCTTTCCCTGTTCCTTCCCCCTGCCCCGCCATCCCATCCCAGTGTATTTTTCCCAAACACTGTAGTTTATTTTCTGTCTCACTATTCCAATATGTAAAGATCAGTTTTACCAAAATATTTTCAGGCTTTATCAGATTTCCCAAGGGCCTAATTTGTTTGTTAGGCAAATTCTTTGCTTTTCACATCCCTATCATATCATCACCCTTGATTTCCCTTCTCCATTTGTTAACTGGTGTAAGGCTGAGAGGTGATCTAGGAGTTCTCTCTCATTACTTTCCGGGACTTCACTTAAGTCCTACAGCTCTCAGGAGATGTGCAATTTCAGTTTGCAGTTAGTTTTACTTGCACTGTATTATCCTGCTGTTTACCACATCTATTCATTAGCCAGAAACTGGCTGCCAAAGATGCTGATGGGACTGGTAAGGATTAAGTAGGAAGGAATGATTAAGTCATGACTAATTTTCTAAGTGGCTAGTTTATTAGCAAGACTTCTGTGTAATGGCGTTTGCTTTCCTAAACAGCCTTGTGACTATGGATACATGGAAAATGAAAACTCAGTAAAACAAGGGCCTAGTTCAAAGGGTATGATGAGGATTAAATAAAACAATGCCTGTAAAGTTCTTGGTGGCTGGAATGTGTTCCCAAAAAATGTCCAGAAAAGGTAGCTATTAAACTGAGTAACAATGGAGACACCAGAATACTTAATGGGCTGCTTGAAGAACATCAATACCTCAAAAGCTGTAACAAGAAGAAAAATGTAACAGTCATATATAAAAATATGAGAGGGTAATGTAGACATAAAATCATAGAATCACTCTGTTGATTGGGACTTATGGTCGTTTAGTGATAATTCTCACACCACACTTTTTGACTCGAAAGTACCGCTTTCTATCATGTACTACTACAGTTACAACTTTGGCAAATACTCACTGGAGCACTGCATTTCAGCCACTACCTGCATTTTCTTATTTAATCTTCACTATATCCTCATTTAAAAATGGATGAAATTGTGTCACAGAGGTTAAAAGTCTTACCAAGGTCAAGGGGAAAACCTGTCTGACTCCCAAACTCCCACTTTTAACCACTATTGGGGTTCAGGACAGGCTGCTCTAGAACGTGCCACTTTGGCCTAGGATTATTTCAAGCTGAAAACAATTGAAGCCCAAAAAGAGCCCTTTCCCTCCCCCCTTGGCTGCCTAAGAGGATTTAGATGGGGAGTCTGTACCACGAAAATAGCTACAGAACTTTGACTCTCTGAGTTGGCCCACGTAGACTGTTCAAATTTGAACTGATTTTCAATTTTTCAAAAGCAGACAAATTCACACAAGGCTGGGTTTCTGGCTCCTTTCTCCCAAAACTCTGGCAACACGGTCTTCATTTTCACATGGCAGCCACTGGCTGGAGTTGATAAGGCCCATTTTGCCCACTTGACACTTCTGTTCTCCCTAGCATAAAGACCTGGTGTTGACTGTTCTCTCATCATTCCTTTTCTACCAGTAAAATTAAAAATTGGACTTTCTCACATTGGGCTCTTTCACTTGAGGCCTGAAGCCAACTGAGTTTGCCGCCCTTATCTTAGCCCCTAAGCCTCTTTTCTCATCTAATAAATGGGGGGAAAAATTATCTTTAATTCTCAATACAGCCCCATGGGGTAAAAGCATGCACAGACTAGAGAATACTGCCTAGGCCGTGGGAAGTGTTTGAAAAACAGCTGTTGATCTCAGTAGCCCAGGAACCATTTACAAAATAAATGAATGAAGGAACGAATGAACTAACCAACAAATGATCGCATGATTGCTTAGTAAAGAGAAGACTGATGAAAGAAATTATCGCTAAGGCGTTTCTATCGATTTGTGAAGACAATACTTTGTTTCTGGGACACTGCAGGTGCTCAAAAAAATGGGACAAACTGCAGTTATGAATTCCGGAAAAGCTAAATGAGGGACTGAGTGAAGGTGAAGCGGGTGGTCAATAAGCGAAGCCTGTGAACCTTTTGCTCTTTTCACCCAACACACAGCAAGCAAGTGCTGAGTGCCCGCTGTGTGCTCACAGAACTGGGTCCCAACAACACTGCCTCCTCTTCCAGGCCGCCCACGCGCCCTCCTGCCCCGCCCTCGCCCCGCCCTTACAGGATGTCCTCGCGGATGGAGGTGCCACGGTTGAGGTTGTGGAAGCGGACGGAGACGCAGTCCCTGAGAGTGAAGGAGCACCTGTTCTCCTTTTTATAGGCGCTGAAGCACTCCTTGAAGTCCTCGTAGGTCTTGAAGCAGCTGCCCAGCTCCATGGCGGCCCCCTCAGCCCACACCAGGGGCTGGCCCCAAGATCAACACCAGGGTTCAGAGGTCACACTATGAGGGTCTACAGGCTGGGCGTGGGACCAGGATGCCTTAAGGGCCGGCCCCAGTTGGTTGGCCTGTTATGGAGCTCAGAAGGAGCCCTAGCTTAAAACATACAAGGGTCTGGGGGCGGCTTCTGACAAGAGGGGAAGTGATTCTCAGCCCTTATTATCCAGTTCTGGGCTCTGCCCTCCAATACCACATCCAATCACACACGGGATTCTCAGACTGGCACTCATATTCTCCAATCGCTAGAGAAAGAGGGCCACACTCTCCCGAAAACTGACCGGAGCACCGACCAATCATGACCTGCATTCCGCTTTCTCAGGGTCCGCAGGGGGCTTCCGGTTACTAGAACAATCTGCCGGAAGCTCCAAGTCTCAGCTTTTTCCGTCCAGCGCAAAGTCCCCTGCGGGCAGCAAGCGAAGATGTCGTCGCTGCGGGCCCCGGAGGACGGGCAGGGCGACGGCGATCCCGCTGGGGACCTTCGCAGCGTCCTGGTCACCAGCGTGCTCAACCTCGAGCCACTGGACGAGGATCTCTTCAGGTAGCCAGCTGCATCCTGCCCGTCCCCTCGCCCCCGCATTGGGACACTGACTCCTGATTTTGACTGCCGTCACCGCGTAATCCCTGCTCCTAGTCCGCTGGACAAGGATGGGCGCTGCGCGGGATTCATGCTCTGTAAAGGAGAACTTGTCCCTAACAAAGCTGCCCTCTGCCCCGGCTCCCTCCCTCTCCTTGCCAGGTCCGCCCAGCACTACCCCCAAAGAATCCCTAGCAGTCTGGACCGTAGGTAGCCTTCTCATCAGCCTCCCTTGATGAGCCATGTGTCTGGGGAACTCAGCCCAGAAAGGGCGGTGATTTGTCCACGCAGCTGCTCAGGTATAAAACTTACCCGAAGCTCCCTGCATGTTCGCTATCCTTTTCCTCTTACATACCCCTCCCCCCACTATTTGGTGGGGTCTAGTAGCTCATTACTCATTCTGAGTCCTGAGCCATTTTCCCTCCCAATACCACTTAAATTCTTTCAGCAGCTGGGGATTTAACAGTTTTGGTCTCCAAGGCTCCTGCTGCTTTATTGGAAGCAATCTGTTGTTAACTTCCCTTCCCCTACTTGAGGAATTAGAAGTAACTTCCTGGAGGGCTATTTGCAATGCAGCATATGAAAAATGCTAAACTTGGGCTGGGTGGGAAGCTGGAGACCTAAATCCCTGGGCCTTCCACAAGGGTCCCATTTGGGGCAGTCCTGTTTACTACCTCTGAGGCCTTAGTTTTCTCATCTGCACACTGAAGGGGTTAGACTTGAAGTCTGAGGACACTTTGAGATCTAAATCTAGTTCTTGGAAGAACTCGGCTGTCACAGTTGAGGGGTGTAAATGGCAGGCCTTAATGCAGTCCACCCCCAGCTCTCGGGGTTCATCTTGGCCCACTCAAGGTCTTGAGAGACTTCTGTCTTACCCTGGTATGGGCAGTAGAAAAAACTCTGGACTTGGGGGTCAAAGGACCTAGATACTGCCCAGGATCTTAATGGCAATGTTAAGCTCTCTGATCTTGTGCAAGTCACCTTCCCTTTCTGATCTATGTTCTCTAGTGTAAAATAATCAGATTGGTTCATTATCCCAAATCGTAGTCAACAGAAGGGTGGGGCAGTACAGAAGGCCCTGAAGTTGTATATTGTATGCAGAGTGATGTAAGGATATTTGCCTGCGGAAGTGGTCCCCTGCTTTCACCAGATTCTCAAAAGGATCCTAAATCCCAATAAGGTTCAGAGATCCTGCACTAGAAGTTCACTGATCCGGGTAGAATTAGGCACAACCCTCAAGTGTTTCCTGCTTTCCCCCTCTCCCCACAGAGGAAGGCATTACTGGGTGCCCACAACCCAGCGGCTGTTTGGGGGTCAGATCGTGGGCCAGGCTCTGGTGGCTGCAGCCAAGTCTGTGAGTGAAGACGTCCACGTGCACTCCTTGCACTGCTACTTTGTACGGGCAGGTAAACCTCCGCCCCCACTCCTACCTTTGTCCTCAGCTCTGGTGGCCCCGCAGCCACTTCCTGGATTTGAGGGTTGACTGAGGAGAGAGGGAGAGAAGTGGAGGAGTGAGTGAGGGACAGTTGATTGCCTTGGGGGAGTGTAGAGAGGAGCTAGGCCTACGGCCCCCACCCCCGGAAGATCCTTAAACCTCACACCTGCTGAGACTCACTGGGTACTTGTTATCTGGAGGGTAGCGACATAAGGCTTTGTTGCCTAACTGCTCTCTGTGGCTCTTTTGTTCTTCATTATTTGCACACCTTTACCCATTCTTGACACTCTGAATGTTCTGTGCTGGACCCTTATAGGGGAGCTGGCACTGCTGCTAGGAGTTTGGAGGTAGGTAGCTTGGCTTGGAGAAGAGAGCCCTGGGAATCCAGAGACTTCGGGCTTAGTTTCAGCCTTGCGGCTCATTCACCATGCGAGGTGAGGTTGCCTACCCACTCCCGAGGCTCGGTTTGTCCCACCCAAAAAATGGAGGAGGGGCCACACCAAGGGAGGTGATCTACAGATGCTTACAGCCCTGGGATCAAATACAGAATTGGGAGAGTAATCTTTTAAAACTCATGGGCTTTTTTTTTGACAAACATAAAAAACTCCCATTCCTTCCCTGTCTCACTCCTCAGGCAGACACCCCCCGGTTTTAAGAGTCACTATCTTCTGCATAGACCCATCAGCTGAGAATTTATGGAACTTTATGATATGTGATTCCTATTAAAAAAACAATAATGGGTGGTAACTACACTTAAATCATGGGAAGCATTTTGTAACATAATTGTTGAACCACTGTTGTGTGCCTGAAACTAATATAACATTGTATGTCAACTATACTTCAATTAAAAAAAGAAAAAAAAATGGGGTTTCCCCCTTCATTTTACAAATATAAAATAGTTCTAACAGTAAATATAACTTTTCATATACTGCATTTCCATGCCCCTCACTCCCCATCCTTTAATTGTCTGTCCTTCCCTGCCTGTGAAGGGTTTGATTACTTAACTGGGTCAGCACTGCTCTTACCTTTATGCTAATTGGGAGCAAGAGTTCTTTATTTCTCCAATTTGGTTGTAAGCTCCAAAAGTGCTGGGCTTTTTGATGCTTAATCCTTCTAGCCTAGTGAGACAGTTTTATTTTGTGGGGTGGGGTGGGGGCATCACTTGATCCCTCTGAACTGGGTTTTTAAGAAATCTTGTTTCTCAAAGATTTCTGTGAGTCTTTGCAGGTAAAGTATTGAGTACAGGGCATGGCACATTGCTGCTCTTCCATAAACGATAAAAAATTCATTTTTTGACGATGAACTTATGGGAATAATTTAAATGTGCAGGATACAGAGCAGAGCCAAATACATTATCTTGTTTAGTCCTCATAAATAAAAATATTTAGTCCTCATAAATATAATGGGCATTCCTGCCACCATTATACCTTTCAGAAAATGGATTCAAAGAAGTCACGTAGCCAGCTCCCACAGTGCCCAGGCAGGCAGAGCCAGGATCTGAACCTGAGTTTGTGTGTCTCCAAGCTCTATACGCTTTCCTCGTGTGCTTTTCTCCAGGGAGATAATTCTAGACCATGGGAGAGCTGCCATGGTGCCCATCTGAGGCTCTGGGGAAAGGATTCTCTTCCTTGGGAATTCTGCATCTAGGGGTAGCATGGAATGAGCCATCCCCATGCTACTATGTCAAAATAATCATCAATTATTTGTGTTCCTACCTCCTCCTTGAAAGGCTGCAGGACAGCTTTAAATTGGCCGCTATTATAGTACTATAAAAGTCAAGCGACAGAAGGTTAGTGATAAAGGGATTTGGGGGATATGATTGTGTCAAAAAAACAAAGTCGTATTGTTAAGTCATGACTTAACATATGGTAAGTTATATTGTTGCAGTTTTGTACACAAACTAGTTCTGAGCTTCCTGGTAGCAAGGTAAAAAGGGAAGCTTTCTTACCAGTTTGTGATGTGACCTTATACACAGTACACCAAATATAACCAATAATGATGTTCTAATATTTTGAAGTAAAAGATGCTGGGGGTGGGGTGGGGGCAGGGCCGGGTGTTGCTCTTGGCCGTTCATCATATCAATTCTTTATGTAAAAGCCCAGGATAGAATGTTAGTTTGTTTTTGTTTTGAAGTATTTCTCTACTGACAGGTAGAAGAATGTGGTATGGGAGTCATCTGACTTAGTATATGATATAGGTTTAGAGCTTGGAGAATGTAAAGCAAGAGTCAGCAAACATTATAAAGGGGCAGATAGTAAATATTTTAGGTTTTGAAAACAAAAACAACAAAATATGTAAAGACATGGGCTTGGCTGTGTTCCAAAAAATGTTATTTAGGGCATCAGTTTCCTCATCTATTCAATGAGGATAAAACCCACTTTGCATAGTTATTATGATACCCACAGGACAAACATAATCTTGTTACAGATGTTGCCTGGCTTCCAGAACCCCTTCATAACTGTTAGCTCCCATCCTTCGATAGCCTCCAGGACCTACCTGCTCTGTTCTAATAACCATGACCAAGAACAGGTGCGGAACTCAGTCACCCTGAAAGGAAAATCCCTAGTAACTGAAAGTACTGCATCGTGGCCATACCCCAAGGATTTTGTTAGGGTTGGTTGGGAAGGGAGGCTTCCTTCCTAGCCCTTGAGACATGTAGCTCTCCAGTGTCTGGACTCCTGGGATGCCCTTCTCAAAGGCCTTCGACTTTGTGCAGCCCCGTTCTGATAAAAATGCTCCTTAGCGATGCCAGATACCAGACCACTAAGCAAATAACCTGGCTGCAAACAGTGGTGTTCGTTGCTATTGAGGGAGCCTCCAGTGCTGGTTGGCTCCCCATTTGGATCAGGGTGGAGGAAGCAACACTTCTTGAGACCTGTTTCTTTTGTCCAAAACTTGAAAATTATCCCCCAGATGTCTCACTGACTAGATGTCAAGGTTTTCTCCACAGTTGGCTTGACTCAGAGAGGCAGTGAAGGACTTCAGGGACGTGAAGGAGACTGTCTCCTCCTAAAAAGCCTCCCGACCTGGTTGTTGAGGGCTTATGGTCCTCCACCCGGAGCCAGTGCACTGGGAGCACAGACACCTGAAGATGACTGCTGTTTGCATCAAGGATGAAGAGATGGCAGGCTTTTCTTCAGGGGGAATACATGTTCAGAGAATGGCCAGACCAGATATAAAAACACTATGATCCACAGCCGGTAGTGACCAACCCAGGAAGCCAACCTACTACTGTCTACGATAGTCAGCCTTGTAGGAAGTCAGACCTCTATCTCTAGCAGCTAGTCCAGGAAGCCAAATCAAGTCCCTCTAGTAATCTGCCCCAAACAGCCAGGACTTGATTAATAACTGACAGCTTCCTTAATTTTTGCCCTTGCTTCCAACTTAGGACCAATGAGGGAAAGCCAAATATGCCCCCTCAACCAATCATCTAGGATGCCCTGCTTCTAGTTAGCCGACAGCTTGCCTGTGCCAACAGCCTTCAGTCAGGGAATACCCGAAACCTCTTTTTCCACTGCAGAGCTTTCCCGTTCCTCCGCCTGTCAAGCTAAGTGATGGTGGCTGACCCCCTTGCTACTGTACTAAACTCTGAATAAATAGCCTTTACTTGTTCTCAAAAAAACAACAGACAAGAAAAACCAAAACCAAGAAAGAAGACAGGTGGCAGGCCAGATCTGTTGACCCTTGATCTAGAAAAATGGTACTGGACTCATGACATGATCTCAGTCACAGAAGGAACAAGACAAAAGCTGGGAGTATTTATTTTAATTAATAAACACAGAGCACTTAATATGGGCCAGATATTCTAAACAGATCACAACTATGAACTAATTTTTCATTAAAATCCTGGGAGGTATGAACATTGTGGTAATTCCCCCATCTACAGATGGGTAAACTGCCTCCCAGAGATGTTAAATGACTTCCCCAAGGTCACACAGCTTGGTGAGTTGGCACAGCCAGGATTTAAAGGCAGAGAATCTGGCCAAGTCCCTTCAGTTCTGTTGACGGGAGTTACACCTGCACTGGGAGTATCTCGATGACAGGGTCTGGTGGTGTCTATGCCCAGAACGTGGGCCTTCGCAGCCTTACTAGCTACCGAGCAGAAAAGGAATGGAGAACGAGTAGCCGGGGTGCCTGTCCAGCCATTGTGATGATGACCCAGCCTATGTGGCTTACCATGTACCTTGTGCCCACCGCAGGCGATCCAAAGGTGCCTGTGTTGTACCAGGTGGAGCGAACGCGAACAGGGGCGAGCTTCTCGGTGCGCTCTGTGAAGGCTGTGCAACATGGCAAGCCCATCTTCATCTTCCAGGCCTCCTTCCAGCAGACACAGCCCAGCCCCGTGCAGCACCAGTTCTCCATGCCCACAGTGCCCCTGCCAGAAGAGCTGCTTGACCGCGAGGCCCTCATTGACCAGTATTTAAGGTGAGAGACCCAGAGGCTCCAGGACAGTGTTGTGTACCTGAAGGCAGCAGCGTAGCCCTGTAGCAGGGACCCTCACTGCTGCCAGCCTGTACCTCCTCGGGGGCTGGATCGGGGTGAGCCTGAAGGAGAGGGGGTCACTCAGAAAGGAACAGGCAGAAGAGTGGGAGAGCTTAAGAGTGAAAAAGGTTTCAGGAGTCTTGATTGTCAGTTGCAGTCAGTGGGTCCTGGAATCCTTTAGTAGATCTAGACCAGCATTTTAAAAATACACACTAGAAAAGAAGATATTGGAGTATATTGTATGTAGTAAAGGTAAGGATACTTTTGTAAAACTTTATTTCCAGTTGTGTGTGTACTGCGGTTCATGACGTAGAATATACTTATGATTCAACCTGTTCAGGTGCTGTTACAGCTTAACTGGTTATTCAAATACTGAAATCCTCCCATAACTACTTGGTAAATACTCACCTCCCATTCTCTGAGCGACCTCCTCCTCCTTCAGGCTCACCCACCATCCCGCAGGCTTGCAGTTAACGCCTGGTGGCAGTGAGGGTCCCTGCTGCAGAGCTGTGGACCTGTTGCCTTCACCTTAGTGTGTGTTAAGTATTTTGAATACCGCTTAGTAAAATACAGTCCTTACTTGGATCACAGTCAATGAAGTGGAAAAATGTTTGAGGCCAGGGAAAGAGCCCTCTGGGTTCCAACACAGGCCAGACAAGGATTCTGGGCAGGGCTGTGCTTCTGTTAGTGCTCACCTGCTGTGTGACTCTGCCCAACTCCCCAGCCTCTGAGAACTTGTTTCTTTGTCTAAAAAATAGGGTGGTCATTTCTGCCCTGCCTTCTTCAGAGCTGTATTGTGAGGAGAGCTCCTCTGTCTTGCCTTGCATACCCGAGAGGCAGAGTTTGATGGGATGGATGTAGGTGTGAGCCTGGGAAAGGCCTGGGTTCAAATCTTGATTCTGTCTTTGTTAGCTGTGGGAGTTTGAACAAGTTGCTTTCCCACTCTGGGCCTGTGCTCTCAGTTATAATTCCTATCTCATATGGCTGCTGTGAAGATTAAGTGAGTAAGAGATAAGGCACTTAGTGGGTGCTCATCGATTATAGTTATACTACCATTGACAGAGAGGAAGAAGTAAAGAACCTGTGTAGTCCAAGCTCAAAAACATTTGCTGAAATGAGAGGACATTGTCCTTAAAGGTCCATAAATCTAGAGCTGTGCTATCCCTAGGTGGCTACATTAACTTAATTAACATTAGATAGGATGAACAATTCTATTTTTGTCTTACCAACCACATTTCAAGCACTCAGTAGCCACATGTGGCTAGTGGCCTCCATCATGGACAATGCAGCAGCAGAACGTTCCATCATCAGAGAAGGTTCTGTGTGGGACAGTAATGGCAATTAGGGAAGAAAAGGGCAATACTCGGGAAGAGCACTATGGGTGGCTGTTACATGGCAAAGGGGCTTTTCGGGAAATGGGCTCTTGCCCCTGTGGACAGTGTTCCCAGTTGCTCAGGGTTAGGTAACTCAGTCCAAGTTGGACAGCTTGATTCCCGAAAGCTTGGAATAGGCAGGTGGCTAAGAGCATGGACTTTGCAGCCAGACTGCCTGGGTCCAGTTCCTGCCTACTGCATTTCCTGAGCAAGCTACTTGAACTGTATGGGTTTATTTAGTCAATCAGCTGGGGGTAATGATATTACTGTCTCTCAGGGTATGTGAAATGCTTCGCAACAGTGCATATTATCATGTACACCTTAGTACTATGATGTGTCGACTTTATATGCTTATCTTCTCCACAATTCTTATGAGGTAGGTTACTGTCATTATCCACATTTTGTAGATGGGAAAATAGGCTCAGAGAGATAACTATCTTGCACAAGGCCACATCGCTGTTAAGTGGCAAAGAAGGGATTTAAACATTGCCCTATCCTGCCTGCCAGAGGGGATAAGCCAGGAGTCCCTGTGGAGGAGTGGGGGAGTGGTCAGAAGAGGCAGCTCAGAGGAGAGGCTCCCCCTCTTCCTGGGTCTCTCCCAGTTCCTCTCCCCTGTATTTCCAGGAACCCTGAACTCCAAGAGAAGTACCGTGTGGGGCTGAACCGAATTGCTGCCCAGGAGGTACCCATTGAGATCAAGATGGTAAACCCACCCACCCTGAGCCAGCTGCAGAACATGGAGCCCAAACAGATGTTCTGGGTGCGAGCCCGGGGCTATATTGGTAAGAGGAGCATATGGACTGGAAGAAAACACTCTGCAGGGGTCTAGGCCTGCACAACATTTGATCTATGCAGCCTTGAGCATGTTACTTCCCCTCTCTGGGCCCCTGTCCTTATCTGCGTGACAGGGAAGATGCCTCAGCTTCTCACCAGGGCCAGCTCAGCTCATGGGGATGATGGGAGGTGATTATAATCCTCATGTAGGCCCTTTCTGGGGAAGGCAAGGCACCTTGCTGGGATTCTTATCCAGGTCCACTGCTAACCATAAGGTGCCTTTGTGCAAACTGGAAAAAGATGTCCCTTCTAGGGCCGAGTGGGAGACCTGGGGAGTGAAGACTAGATTTCAGATCTCACTTGCCCTGCCCTCTGCTCATCCCTTCCTGTCTTACCCATACAGACAGACAGACACACACGCACGCGCGCATGCACGTGCCAGGTATTCTTACGCACTGAACACTACACACCTGTGCATGGCAGCCCCTCTCTCCCCCACCTCCCTGCAGGTCCTGAGCTGTTAAGCCCAGGTGCCCAGGGCTGACGGGGCTGGAACCTGTTGCAGGGGAGGGCGACATCAAGATGCATTGCTGCGTGGCTGCCTACATCTCGGACTATGCCTTCCTGGGCATAGCACTGCTGCCCCATCAGTGGCAGCACCAGGTGCGCTTCATGGTCTCCCTGGACCATTCCATGTGGTTCCATGCCCCTTTCCGAGCCGACCACTGGATGCTGTATGAGTGCGAGAGCCCCTGGGCTGGTGAGTGTGGGGCCGTGTGGGCCAAGGGCACTGCCGTGGGGTGGCAAAGAGCCTGCTTTCTGGGGTGATGCTGCCCTGACGCATCCCGTCAGGCACTGCGCATGTCACTTCCTCTCCTGTCCCCCTAGGCTTTCGCATCTGCGTCTTCAGAATGACAGGATGAGGCTCCAGGACAGGATACCTGCTCAGCTCTTAATTTCTGTAACATACTAAGAATATGATTCAGTTTATCAGAGACCCAGCTCTAGTCCTAGAATTCCTTCATATTCTCTGTATGATCTTCGGCAAGTCCGTTGCTTCTCTGAGCCTCAGTTTCCCCATCTGAACAAATGAGGTCAGCATTAGAGCAGCGGTTTCTAAATCTGGTGGCCCATCAGACTGCCATTTGGGGGAGCATTTTCAAAACAGATTCTCAGATTCCACACCTAAGATTCTGACTCAGCAGTTAGATGAGGTGCAGGAAACCATTATTTTTAAGAAGCTCCCTAAGTGATTCTGGTGATGAATCTGGTGGCAGGGGTAGGGTCAGAGCACTCAACAGTCTCTGAGGGCCGCACCACGTGCACACTCCTTGTAGGCAGTGGACAGGAATCTAGACGCATCCATCAGTGTCTAGTCTCAGAGCCCTGGGTTCCTTTCCAAGGAAATACTTTTATATGAAGAAGAGCCTTGCTTTGTAAAACAGGGACAACACGTAAGGGAAGGGGTACTTCTCAAGTAGCAATAGCATCATAATACAGAATCAACAACTTTGAAGTTAAGGATGAGGCCGGACCCAGGTGTCCTAAGGCCAAGTTTCTGAGCCTCTCTAGGCTTCAGCCATGTGGAAAAAGGGGCAAGGCCCACTTCATCTGTCTGCTGTGAGATCTAAGTAAGCTCTGCTCTTGTAAGGGGAATCAGCAGTTCCCTTCATAAACTGTAAACTCAGGCCCAAGGCCTAACAAGGCGGAGAGTCTCTGGGTGGGGAGGGAATGGTGGCCAGACCTCATGGCCCCAGGTCCTCCCCATCCCACCTTGAAGCCCCTTCTTCCTGGTGGGGGTGGGAGTTTTTCATGAATTGCCAGCCTGGAGGGCCTAATTTGATTTATTATAAAGGGAACTGATGGGTTTCCTAACAGAAGTGGCCAGAGGTGGGGCAGATCTGCTTGGCCAAGCTGACTGTTCTCAGGACTCCCACCATGATCTTTTTGAGGAAGCCAGTAGATGTATGAAAGTGCTTTTAAACTGTTACATGGAATTCCCATGGGAGGAATTGCCCCCAGTGACTGACCATAACAGGAACATAAAGGAGCACTTGGAGATTGGGAGTGACCTCAGTACTCAGCATGCCCTTGGATGGGGCAGCCCGACCTGGGTTGCTCCCTTTCTGCGAAGTTTGTTTGGCTGTGCTGAAGGAGAAAGCAGCTGTTCTCACCCTTCTCACCCACAGGTGGCTGCCGGGGGCTGGTCCACGGGCGGCTGTGGCGTCAGGACGGGGTCCTGGCCGTGACCTGTGCTCAGGAGGGCGTGATCCGAGTGAAGCCCCAGGCCTCAAACAACAAGCTGTAGCCAGAGGTACGAGCTTGGCCTGGGACTTCAGGGATCCCCCTTCCTCCCCCAACTCCTGAGGCAGGAGTTATAATCAAGGCTGGGCCTTCTGTTCCTCATATCCAATAAAGAGACTGATAGCGCTGGAGCTGCGGGCCTTTAATTCCCCTGGGCCAGAACTGCAGCCCTCTCTCCAGCCATCAACTCCAGGACTCCAGAGGGTGAGTCCCTGGCCTTTCAGCCAGGCTGCCTTGCTGGCTTGGAGGCCCACAGAAAAGGTAGCATTGCCCCTGACCTGGAGCATTGCCCCCAGGTACTCAGAAGCTAGAGATGCTGCATCAGATTTGCTCCCTGCACCATCCCAGGCAACCCCAGCCAAAGCTTGTCCTGAGTCCAGCTCAACAGAAACAGCATATTTCCTCCATCTGCTACAAATTCTCTATGAAACTTCTAGAGGTTCCCAGCACACCCCATAGCCTCCCAGCTGCTGTCCGTGCCCTCACTGTGCTTCCCCGCCCTGAACCTGGGGCAGTGCCTCTCCCCACAGTGGCCTTAAGTCTAGGCAAGGTTAGTTCAGCACCTCCTTGATGAGCAACTCTTTGAGACTAGGAGGTGGCGTAGGGGTCAGGCCTGCTTCCTGCAGGGTCTGGAGCCGGGCCTCTGACTGGCGTTTGTCCAGGCCCAGACGCCAGGAGAGCCGCACATGGGCCTCCAGAAAGGGTGCCAACAAAGGGTGGGGGCTTTTGTCCCCCAGCAGTTGAAGGGCCTTCTCACAGCATGCCCGGGCCTCCCCAGGGTCCTCCAGCTCCTGGTGGCACACAGCCAGCCCAGCCAGCGTCAGCAGAGGGCGGTCTGGGCCCAAGGGGGTGCCCAGCTGGGCCTGCAGCTGCCAGGCATTGGCCCAGAGCACCAGAGCCTCGCGATAGAGGCCAGTGCAGGTGAGGCTCTGTGCCCGCTGCAGCTCAGGCAGCACGAAGAAGTCCTGCAAGTCTGGGGCATGGCGCAGCAAATGAGAGGACATTGTCCTTAAAGGTCCATAAATCTAGAGCTGTGCTATCCCTAGGTGGCTACATTAACTTAATTAACATTAGATAGGATGAACAATTCTATTTTTGTCTTACCAACCACATTTCAAGCACTCAGTAGCCACATGTGGCTAGTGGCCTCCATCATGGACAATGCAGCAGCAGAACGTTCCATCATCAGAGAAGGTTCTGTGTGGGACAGTAATGGCAATTAGGGAAGAAAAGGGCAATACTCGGGAAGAGCACTATGGGTGGCTGTTACATGGCAAAGGGGCTTTTCGGGAAATGGGCTCTTGCCCCTGTGGACAGTGTTCCCAGTTGCTCAGGGTTAGGTAACTCAGTCCAAGTTGGACAGCTTGATTCCCGAAAGCTTGGAATAGGCAGGTGGCTAAGAGCATGGACTTTGCAGCCAGACTGCCTGGGTCCAGTTCCTGCCTACTGCATTTCCTGAGCAAGCTACTTGAACTGTATGGGTTTATTTAGTCAATCAGCTGGGGGTAATGATATTACTGTCTCTCAGGGTATGTGAAATGCTTCGCAACAGTGCATATTATCATGTACACCTTAGTACTATGATGTGTCGACTTTATATGCTTATCTTCTCCACAATTCTTATGAGGTAGGTTACTGTCATTATCCACATTTTGTAGATGGGAAAATAGGCTCAGAGAGATAACTATCTTGCACAAGGCCACATCGCTGTTAAGTGGCAAAGAAGGGATTTAAACATTGCCCTATCCTGCCTGCCAGAGGGGATAAGCCAGGAGTCCCTGTGGAGGAGTGGGGGAGTGGTCAGAAGAGGCAGCTCAGAGGAGAGGCTCCCCCTCTTCCTGGGTCTCTCCCAGTTCCTCTCCCCTGTATTTCCAGGAACCCTGAACTCCAAGAGAAGTACCGTGTGGGGCTGAACCGAATTGCTGCCCAGGAGGTACCCATTGAGATCAAGATGGTAAACCCACCCACCCTGAGCCAGCTGCAGAACATGGAGCCCAAACAGATGTTCTGGGTGCGAGCCCGGGGCTATATTGGTAAGAGGAGCATATGGACTGGAAGAAAACACTCTGCAGGGGTCTAGGCCTGCACAACATTTGATCTATGCAGCCTTGAGCATGTTACTTCCCCTCTCTGGGCCCCTGTCCTTATCTGCGTGACAGGGAAGATGCCTCAGCTTCTCACCAGGGCCAGCTCAGCTCATGGGGATGATGGGAGGTGATTATAATCCTCATGTAGGCCCTTTCTGGGGAAGGCAAGGCACCTTGCTGGGATTCTTATCCAGGTCCACTGCTAACCATAAGGTGCCTTTGTGCAAACTGGAAAAAGATGTCCCTTCTAGGGCCGAGTGGGAGACCTGGGGAGTGAAGACTAGATTTCAGATCTCACTTGCCCTGCCCTCTGCTCATCCCTTCCTGTCTTACCCATACAGACAGACAGACACACACGCACGCGCGCATGCACGTGCCAGGTATTCTTACGCACTGAACACTACACACCTGTGCATGGCAGCCCCTCTCTCCCCCACCTCCCTGCAGGTCCTGAGCTGTTAAGCCCAGGTGCCCAGGGCTGACGGGGCTGGAACCTGTTGCAGGGGAGGGCGACATCAAGATGCATTGCTGCGTGGCTGCCTACATCTCGGACTATGCCTTCCTGGGCATAGCACTGCTGCCCCATCAGTGGCAGCACCAGGTGCGCTTCATGGTCTCCCTGGACCATTCCATGTGGTTCCATGCCCCTTTCCGAGCCGACCACTGGATGCTGTATGAGTGCGAGAGCCCCTGGGCTGGTGAGTGTGGGGCCGTGTGGGCCAAGGGCACTGCCGTGGGGTGGCAAAGAGCCTGCTTTCTGGGGTGATGCTGCCCTGACGCATCCCGTCAGGCACTGCGCATGTCACTTCCTCTCCTGTCCCCCTAGGCTTTCGCATCTGCGTCTTCAGAATGACAGGATGAGGCTCCAGGACAGGATACCTGCTCAGCTCTTAATTTCTGTAACATACTAAGAATATGATTCAGTTTATCAGAGACCCAGCTCTAGTCCTAGAATTCCTTCATATTCTCTGTATGATCTTCGGCAAGTCCGTTGCTTCTCTGAGCCTCAGTTTCCCCATCTGAACAAATGAGGTCAGCATTAGAGCAGCGGTTTCTAAATCTGGTGGCCCATCAGACTGCCATTTGGGGGAGCATTTTCAAAACAGATTCTCAGATTCCACACCTAAGATTCTGACTCAGCAGTTAGATGAGGTGCAGGAAACCATTATTTTTAAGAAGCTCCCTAAGTGATTCTGGTGATGAATCTGGTGGCAGGGGTAGGGTCAGAGCACTCAACAGTCTCTGAGGGCCGCACCACGTGCACACTCCTTGTAGGCAGTGGACAGGAATCTAGACGCATCCATCAGTGTCTAGTCTCAGAGCCCTGGGTTCCTTTCCAAGGAAATACTTTTATATGAAGAAGAGCCTTGCTTTGTAAAACAGGGACAACACGTAAGGGAAGGGGTACTTCTCAAGTAGCAATAGCATCATAATACAGAATCAACAACTTTGAAGTTAAGGATGAGGCCGGACCCAGGTGTCCTAAGGCCAAGTTTCTGAGCCTCTCTAGGCTTCAGCCATGTGGAAAAAGGGGCAAGGCCCACTTCATCTGTCTGCTGTGAGATCTAAGTAAGCTCTGCTCTTGTAAGGGGAATCAGCAGTTCCCTTCATAAACTGTAAACTCAGGCCCAAGGCCTAACAAGGCGGAGAGTCTCTGGGTGGGGAGGGAATGGTGGCCAGACCTCATGGCCCCAGGTCCTCCCCATCCCACCTTGAAGCCCCTTCTTCCTGGTGGGGGTGGGAGTTTTTCATGAATTGCCAGCCTGGAGGGCCTAATTTGATTTATTATAAAGGGAACTGATGGGTTTCCTAACAGAAGTGGCCAGAGGTGGGGCAGATCTGCTTGGCCAAGCTGACTGTTCTCAGGACTCCCACCATGATCTTTTTGAGGAAGCCAGTAGATGTATGAAAGTGCTTTTAAACTGTTACATGGAATTCCCATGGGAGGAATTGCCCCCAGTGACTGACCATAACAGGAACATAAAGGAGCACTTGGAGATTGGGAGTGACCTCAGTACTCAGCATGCCCTTGGATGGGGCAGCCCGACCTGGGTTGCTCCCTTTCTGCGAAGTTTGTTTGGCTGTGCTGAAGGAGAAAGCAGCTGTTCTCACCCTTCTCACCCACAGGTGGCTGCCGGGGGCTGGTCCACGGGCGGCTGTGGCGTCAGGACGGGGTCCTGGCCGTGACCTGTGCTCAGGAGGGCGTGATCCGAGTGAAGCCCCAGGCCTCAAACAACAAGCTGTAGCCAGAGGTACGAGCTTGGCCTGGGACTTCAGGGATCCCCCTTCCTCCCCCAACTCCTGAGGCAGGAGTTATAATCAAGGCTGGGCCTTCTGTTCCTCATATCCAATAAAGAGACTGATAGCGCTGGAGCTGCGGGCCTTTAATTCCCCTGGGCCAGAACTGCAGCCCTCTCTCCAGCCATCAACTCCAGGACTCCAGAGGGTGAGTCCCTGGCCTTTCAGCCAGGCTGCCTTGCTGGCTTGGAGGCCCACAGAAAAGGTAGCATTGCCCCTGACCTGGAGCATTGCCCCCAGGTACTCAGAAGCTAGAGATGCTGCATCAGATTTGCTCCCTGCACCATCCCAGGCAACCCCAGCCAAAGCTTGTCCTGAGTCCAGCTCAACAGAAACAGCATATTTCCTCCATCTGCTACAAATTCTCTATGAAACTTCTAGAGGTTCCCAGCACACCCCATAGCCTCCCAGCTGCTGTCCGTGCCCTCACTGTGCTTCCCCGCCCTGAACCTGGGGCAGTGCCTCTCCCCACAGTGGCCTTAAGTCTAGGCAAGGTTAGTTCAGCACCTCCTTGATGAGCAACTCTTTGAGACTAGGAGGTGGCGTAGGGGTCAGGCCTGCTTCCTGCAGGGTCTGGAGCCGGGCCTCTGACTGGCGTTTGTCCAGGCCCAGACGCCAGGAGAGCCGCACATGGGCCTCCAGAAAGGGTGCCAACAAAGGGTGGGGGCTTTTGTCCCCCAGCAGTTGAAGGGCCTTCTCACAGCATGCCCGGGCCTCCCCAGGGTCCTCCAGCTCCTGGTGGCACACAGCCAGCCCAGCCAGCGTCAGCAGAGGGCGGTCTGGGCCCAAGGGGGTGCCCAGCTGGGCCTGCAGCTGCCAGGCATTGGCCCAGAGCACCAGAGCCTCGCGATAGAGGCCAGTGCAGGTGAGGCTCTGTGCCCGCTGCAGCTCAGGCAGCACGAAGAAGTCCTGCAAGTCTGGGGCATGGCGCAGCTCAGGCACTGCCTGTAGGTGGCCCAAAAACTGCTCGAAGGCCCGGCTGCGGCGGGCAATGGTCTCTGCAGTAAAATTCCGGCGTAGGCGCTTACGAGGGAAGGCAATGGCGGCCATGGGGCCCCGGAACTGCCGCTGCAGGTTTCGGTGCAACCGTTCAAAGTCTGAGTAGCGGCGAGAGATCTGGGCTGGCTGGTGATCTGATGGCCCTGGACCCATCACGGCGAGGGTGTAGAGCTGCATGGAGGGTGTGGGTCAGGGTTGGTTCAAGTTACCCATGGCCCACTTCCCTCCCCACACCCACATTTGAAGCTCTGTTCCCCCACCTCTTCCCTTCACCCCTGAGACTGTGCCCAGGAGCTGCTGTGGGAGCTGCTGGGCAGCTGCTAGAGACCCCGGTCCCATCTTACCTGAGGCTCGTCTGAAATGACCCAGGCCCAAGGCAGCACAGGGAGAGAAAGACAGAGATGAGCTTCAGTACCTGGAGCTGCTATCCTTTTCCCCCTTCCAGGGGGTACTCCCCTGGGCAGTAAGCTCTTCTGATAGCCCCTCTGGGAAACCAGGGGTGAGCTGAAACCCAGGCTGACTCCTTGGGCCTCTGAGCCAACCTTCAGGACCAGCTTGGAGCTTTTGTTCTACTCTGGACAGAGCCCCCACCCTTAGCCAGGTTATTCCACAGGAAACCTGGAGGAGTCTTCAGACAGCCGGCAGTGCTCACTGTGAAAAGTACACGGGACTCAGAATCAGGTTCTAACCCCAAGTCAGCTATTTCCTCACCATGTGATGTCAGACCCCCTCTTGGGTCTGCTTTGTTCTTCAGTGAATGAAGCCTTGGCCCAGGTCAGTGTTTACTCAGGTGTGGGACATGTACAAATGTTGGTCCTGGGATTTTAGGTGGTATGTACTAGAGTAAACAAATAAGAGAGAGGAGGTGACTGCCCCTGCCTCCCTCCCCTTAATTTTCTTTGAATCTTTCTGAATACAAATTGAGAAGCTCCTGGTTTGGTTTTGAAAGTGCACTTCTCCAACACTTCTCAGCTCCATTTTTAGAAAAAAGCCAGAAAATGAAATCTCAGATCAGGGCCTTTATGTAATAGCATCCAGGCAGGGTTTAATTGAGACCGTTTCATTTTCACTGCTTTTATTTTTATGGTTATCTTTATGGCTAGTGAGGCTTTCTGTATACAGTAGTGCTATAAAATTGCCTTTTAAATGTAAATTTAAGGGAAAAAAAGGTTTACTTAAAGAAAAATACTAAGCAAAGAATGATACAAGTAGCATTTAGCTACAACAAGAATCATGAAGGTGGTACCCCAATGACTGGTGTTTGGGAAACACAACAGAATGACCACAAAGCGTCTTCCCTCACGTCTGAGAGACTATATGGATTAATCTATAATAATGCTGAGTCAACAGGCTTAAAAGGGGGATTAGCAAGTGTTAGATGCTAAAGGCATATTAACACCAAATCCAGATTTTTTTCTTGAGTTCTGTGAAATTGCCAATGTTATATATAGACACCTCTGGTTAAGTTTGCTTTCTTTATCGGCACAAAGATTGCACAGTGCACATCAGTATTAAGGTTTAAAAGTTTAACCATAAAGAAACTTAATTTCACTCTCATTCAGCTCTGCATTCCCAAAGAGCATTGACTGCAATATCTTTTCTTGTTTTAAGGCACATTTATTAACATTAGAGGAAAACAGTTTTCTGCCCAACGCACTTCAGGGACACTGGTCTGTAACAAACCTATATAGTCATCTGGTTTTTATTTTTTACTTTTTTGGCAAAAAAAAATTTTATATCCATTATCTCTCGTCCTTGTTATGTCTCCTCGAGATGGGTAATGACAGGAGCTCCATTAAGTGAGCAGCTGTCCCATGCTGAGTGCTGTGCTGAGTAATTTACAGTCTCCCCCATTCACTTAATCATCCCAACAGCAGTGCAAGGAAGGTATCCTTCCCTCTCTCTGTCTGACAGCAGAGGAAGTGGGCTCAAAGAGGAGGCAAAGGGTTCCAAGGCTTATGCTAGGTCACAGGCTGGTGAACGGCCCAGGTGAGATTCAAACCCAGGCCGACCTGATTCCAAACCCTGTGCTCTTAACCACCAGGAGTTAAATCGGGATTTAGGGTCCCCATTGGACAAAGGAGGTGCTTTGTTTCCCCAGACACAGGCCAGGGCACACTTGGCCATCCTACTCTATCTTGTCATTCTCTTCAGATAAAGACTCACATTCCTTATTTCTCAGCTGCAACTTGATAACTGATCCTTGGGACCCCCTTCCTGTGCCTGACACCGAGCCAGAACTTCTGCATTTAAGACTTGCTCGTTGGAGTCAGTCCCTGCTCAAATTGAAGCAGTCACCCCATGGGTGTGGCCCTTGTTTACTAACAGCAGCAGAAAGGAGTGGAGAGGTCCAGATGTGGGACAGGGCTCCAGGCCCCTTCTGCTGAGTCAGAGATGGAGGAGGGTGATGAGAGCAGAGAGCACACCTGCCTCTCAGGACCTCAGTGACGTCCTTCTTTACATCAGTGTCTCCAGGCCCTCCCCCACACTGCCCTTTACCCCAACCCCCTAAATCTAGCCCTTAAGGACAAGATTATTCTATACAGGGTGGGTGCTCAAGAATTGATACACGTAAGTTGTAAGGTCACAACAGGCCCCAGATCCCAGGCATTTTCCATCCAAAGTTAAGTAAACATTATAGAACTACCATTTTATGGAGACCTTCATAATGCTGCCACAATGCTAAGGGCTTTCTGAACACTGTCTCATTTAATTCAGCAATCCTCTGCATTAGCCCTGTTGCTCAGAGGAAACCAGGTCATCAAGGTTATACACGCACCTAAAGTCAAACAACTGGAAGTAAGGGATCTGAATCAAGGTCTGGCTCCAAAACCCATATTTTTAACCACTAACTGATGCAACTTGGGTTCACGTCTGACCCAGATAATATTCTTTCTTGAGTATCTTTATCTTACTACAATTTGCAAAACCCTGGGTAGGGTGGGGCACACACACACCAGTTCTCTTAATCTCAAAACCAGTATAGGAGAAGTCCATAATCCCTCAGAAAAACTAAGACATTTGCCTGAGAACTTGTTTAAGCTCTGTCCCCTTTTTGGCCTCTGTTTCCTCATCTGTAAAATGGGGCAGCCATTTATAATTACACAGTCAGATCCTGCCCCCCAGCCTCCCAGGAAATTGGGAGTCTACCCTACTTTTTATTAGACTTCCGGACTGTTCACAGCCCAGAGGTGCCTGGACCCTCACTCACCACGTACTTGGAGGGTGGGTCCTTGACCACGTTGGCGCTGGTCACCTCGAAGAGCAGCCGCTGGGGTACCAGGGTGTACCGGGACTTCTTCCAGAAATCCTGCAACTGCCGGGTCAGGAGCTGACTGCCCCGCTGCCCATCGGGTGGAGGGCTCCGTTCTGCATGAACCGAAGACCAGTTACCTCAGCGGGCTTGGGGCTGGGATGGACATAAACCATGCGCCATGACCTCATTTATCCTCCCAACAGGTGACAGGTTTATCCCCATTTCACACAAATGTAAACTGGGGGGCCGGAGAGGGCCAAACAGGGTGCCTAGCAGACAGTGGGCTCTAAACTCCACCCCTAGAACATCCCTGCCACATGGTTACCGTTTGTATCCCAGGTCCCTGACATTTAGGGCCTGCAGCAGCCCTGAGATGGGCGTGATTTGACCCAAGGATAAACGACGCAGAGGTGGTGAGTCCCTCAAGGTCACACCGCCGAGGGGCGGCTGGGGCACTTAGGTGGCTGAGTTCGGGCCGGGAGGGCCGGATGCCCTCGGGAACGCGGCTGGGCGGAGGCCTAGTCCTGCCCCGGGCTTCTCGCCGCCGACCTCCCACACTCGCCTGCGTCCTCTCCCGACGCTCCGTCACCGGGGGAGAGCGGGTCGGGGGCGACCTCCTCGTCGCCCTCGTCGTCCTCGTCCTCGGCACTGGTGAAGCTGAGGGTGCCGCTGAGGCGAGAGGACAGGCCCTCGGCGTCGTCGTCCCCCAGCTCCGAGCTCTCCGGGAACTGCTCGGCTTCGGGGCCGGCCGCCGCCTCCCCGGGGCTGTCGCCGGCCAGGGCGTGCCGCAGCCGGTGCAAAAGCCGTGAGGCCATGGCACCCCGTGGGGAGCGCGCGGCACCGGATCGGGTAGGCAGGGGAGGGAGACCCGGGCCCCGGGCGGGGAGGGGCCCGGGCCGGGGGAGGGAGGGGCGCCGCGGAGGCCCCGCCCCTGCCCGCTGGGGGGTCCTGCGCGCCCGGGGCCCGGCCCGCGTCGCCCTCCCTTCACCCGCGCAGATTAGTCCCGATGCCTTCCCGGGAAGGGCCCGGGCCCCTCTCCACGTCTCTTTATCCCCCTGGCGCGTCCCCACCTCCTGCGTCCCGTGGGGCACTCGGGAGCGTGCCGCCGCCTAGGGGTCCCGATGCAGCCCCCAGCGGCTTACAGAGGCCGGCCGGACTCCGCCCGGCCCAGGCCGCTCCGAGCGCCGTTCCGGCCCCTTCCTGCCGCCGCCCCGCCTCCGGCCCCGCCTGCTCCCTGGAGTCGCCCGGGAATCCTGGGCCCTTCGCTGCAGGACGGATTTGGGAATCCTGGATAGGCCTGGGCCAGCCCCAGGCCTCCTGCGGGGTGGTCCCCAATCGGAGGGCCTCATACCCTCCTTGAAACCTCCTTCCTCTCCCGGAGACCCAGCTGGGCCATCCCCCAATTTCCACCCAGCGCTCCTAACTTTCTGAAGTCATTATGCAACAGTAGGAAGTTCATCTCTCGCTCCAGTGAGGAAACTGAGGCCAAGAGAAGACACCTGGTCCGAGTTGGAATCCGACCTCGCTAAGCCTAGGTTTTCTCATATCTAAAACAGGAACAGTTAATACCAGTACTAATTTTGCTGCTCTTGTGAGGACCCTGGTGCAGTGCCTGGCACAGAGCAAGGACTGACAAAATGACCAGTTATATAATGATTATTGTTTTTACAGTGTTCACAAATCTCATTTGAGCTTCACACAAAGAAAGTAGGCAAACAGGGGAAGAGGTTTGAGTGTAGGGCCTTGCAGCCCAGGTCTCCTGAGTTCCACATCCTCTTCTTTCCCACGCAGGGCCTGGTAATCTCAGTAACTCCTCTGCAGGGCTTTTATCTTTTATCCGGAGGGTAGCAGTAGGTCAGGAAGAATTTATTGTCACTTCCTATCAGAAGGCCTAGATACCAGTCCCTAGCAGGGCAGATACTGTTGGTTATATAAAAAAATCTCTCTAAATGTGGTTTCTACCCTTCATGAATGGCACAGGATAGAGGGATAGTGGGGGTGAGGGGGGGTGGAGTTTTGAATGGAAAAGACTCCCTGACCTCCCTGTGTGCAGAAAGGGCAGGACTCATTTCTTGAGTTCCACTGTGTCCTACATCCTGTTCTAGGCACTTTATATAGGTCACATCTCAACTCTACAACGTCCTGGGGAGGAGGCTGTTATTAGACAATAACAGTCCACTTCCAAGATGAAGAAACTGAGGCAAATTGATTTTCCCAAAATATACAGCTAGGAAATAGGGGAGCTGGGATTGAAGGCCAAGTCTGTATAATTTCAAAGCTCTAACCCACTCTTCATTCATCTTATAGGCAGGGTGTTAGGGCAAAAAAGACATACTTCATTCATTCAACACTCAACAAATATTGGCTGAATATTAACTTGTGCTTTGGCATAGGCCTCGCAAGTCTGCGTACAAAGCAGGTGTTCATAAAACTATGTGTTGTCAGAAATCTGGTCTAGCACTTCCATTTTACAGATTGGTAGTCTGAGGCTAAGTGAGGGGAAGGGGCTTACCTGGGGTCATATAAACAGGGCCAGAACTAGATCTGACATCTTGTATTTTCCACTACTGTTAGACTGTATGGATATCTCCCTATAGCCCTCTGGGAGATGGTCATCAGACTGCTGGTATACATTCAGAAACAGGAAGCTCATTACCTTGTGAGGCTTTGCATTCCCATTATTCTACTGTGACTATTAGGAAGTTCTTCCTTATATCAAACCATATGCCATAGTTCAGTTGTTCTTATAAGAACACAGTATTTATTGAACACTTGCTAAGTGTCAGGTGGTGGGTGCTGGGGAATGCAATGGTGAACAGGTAGCAGTGTCTGGTCAGGAACTCAGAACAGGTTGTGATCATGTGGTATGCTTAGTGCTGCAACTGAAAAAACTACTGGAGACCACCTTGAACTCCTTTGGCCTTGGTGTAGGGGAGGAGGCATCCCGGAGGAAGTGATGTTAAAGCTGAGAAAGATGATAGGGAAGTAGGCAGGTGATGGGAGTTACTGGCAGAATAAACAGCATGTGCAAAGGCCTGGAAGCTATAATGGTGGTGTCTAGAGTTGTATTTTAGTCTGATCAGAGCAGATCAGCATGCAAGATAGGGAGGGAAAAAGAGTGAGAATGGAGTAAGTTTGGACCTTTTTTATTAATGAGCAAATGATTGCTGAGGGTCCCATTCTCTGTGTTCCAAAGGGATCAAGAGATTCTAGTGTTGTGTTCAAATGGGAATCCCCTGGGTGTTGTCGCCCCTTAGCCCTCTGCCTGACTGGGGGAGGCCTTATTTAGCCTGGCCTCACTCGGATGAGCTTTTCTTGGGAATGTCTAAATATAGAGGAAGACAGCAAGCAGCCCAGTTGCCACTGTCCCTCTGCCTTCCTTGGTGTCCAGCCCCTGTCCACTGGCCCCAGGCTCAGCACTTAGTGACCGCAGTGCTCTTTCTGTTAACTTAACTGCTATCCATGAGCACTGCCTACCCCTAAAACACCCAGCCTGGACCCTGTGGAGTTTCAGCTTGGGCTCGCTTTGGACTTCACTTGATCCCCCCCTTCACTCCAGCTGAGCCCCTCCAGACTTCTTCGCCAAGCTCTCGGAAGGGGCCAGCTGCCCCTTCATCTGCTTAGAGAGTCTTCTCATAGTCCCCCTTCCCCCAAAGATGTCAATCCCAAACACCTTTTCCCTGGAGAAGGTAAGCCTGAGAGAAGAACCTGTTTTCAGTGTTTATTTCTTCTCCAAATGCCCATCCTGTTTCCCAGAGCCCTCCATACATTTCTCCTTCTGGACAGGCCCCTGAAGGACTGTCTGTCCCAGGTTCCCCTCAGTCAGGATTAGTAGGAACCATCAACATGACTAAAGACCTTTATGATTTACAAAGCTTCTCAGTAAAAAGGGAATAATAATAGTTGCTACCTCATAGGATGAGTACTAGATGAGATCATGTGGTTAAAATGCTTTACACAGCATGTGGCGTGCTATAGAGGTTCAATAATTGTGGCTGTCAATTTCCCCTCCTCCTATCCCCTACCCCTAGATTTAAAGACAGGACCGTGATTCAGACAGGAAATTCCACTTGCCAAGCGCCAACCCTATGTAGCTGGCCCATGCCAGGTAACACCTGGGCTCCCGTTTACCACAATTTCTCTCTGAGAGGGAGGTTATGACTATCCCCATCTTACAGATGAGGAAACTGAAGCTCAGAGTGCCATTGCTGCCTGCCCAAGTTTACACAGCTTGCAGAGACAGGACTTGATCTTCGGTTTTGGATGTGAAGGCTTGTCCTCTTCTGGTTCCAGCAGGCTCCCTGACTTTTCTCTCTTCTGACCATCCTCACCCGTCTGGGAGCAAGCGTGCTTCTTGAGCAGGGGCTTGCTAAGGCATTGGGAGCAGGGCGGCTTCTCCTCCCAAGAATCCAGGACGTCAAGGCCTGCCACCTGCTCAGAGGCTTAAATTTCTCTGCAAGGGCCCTTGGCTAAATTAGGTAATGGACTAGGATTCTCGGGGGGGGGGTGCTTGCTGACCCCAGGATCTGATTGGCTAGGGCATCCAGTCCTGGGGTGCAGGGAGGTGGGAGGAGAGGGTGCCCCTACAAATCCTAGGGGCTGAATTGGGTCACGGCATCTTTGGGTGCTGGAGTGCAGACCTGGAGCAGAGGAGTCCCTGAGACTAGCGACCATGGTAAGGACAAGAAGGGACTTCATCCTTAGTTTACTGGAGCATTTCTGGGCCTCTTTCAGGCAAGATGGGTGCTCTGTGGGGCAGTAACTGGCATGTTTGAAGATGGAACATGAAGGTTCCTGGAGCCCAGGTGTCTAGGAGGAAGCCTAGGAAGAAGGCTTTGGACCTTGGAAGCAGAGGGCTGTGATATTCTAGGGACTGATCCTCCAGGTGTGCCGAGGCCCTGCAGACCTTCTGAGGCTTCCAGCAATGTCAGTCATAGAACTGTAAGGAGGTTTAATTTGTCTCCCTCATGGTAGAGATGGGTCCCTGAGGGCCCGAGTGAGACACCCAGCAATCCAATGGCAGGGGCGGGTTAGAAGACTTGCTAAACCCTCGTATCGCCAGGGGGAGAAGAAAAACTCCTTTGCAAGACGGGAGGCCTGCAGGACTTTGAGCCAGCTCTTAGGGGGCGCAGGACCCCACGAGCTCCAAGGGTGATGGGAAGGGGCAGAAGATGACAGACCAGAGTGAAGAGACCCAGCCTCCCAGAGAAGGTTCTGATTTGGGGCTGTCATTTTCCTCCGAGATCCTCCTCCCCGCCTCACTTCAAGGAGTAACCAGACACCGAGGACAGCTGCTGTTGCCTGTGCCAGACTAAGAATAGCCTGGCTTGAAAAGGAGGAGAGGCGAGGGGCGGGGGACAGAAGGAGGGCCAGCGGCCAGGCAGCCGAACTCCTTGGGTGCCTCAGCCCCTCCTCACCCCTGGCCTGAGTCCAAAGCCCCCTACCCATATGACTTAGCTTAGATGTGACCAGAAACCCCCACAAATATCACTTTCGCCCTATAGCCCCCCTTCACTTTCTGCCCAGCATGAGTGGGAATTTACTCCAGTGACTGAATCATAAGAAGGCTTAAAATCTCCATCTATGCACATTTTGGATGGGAGGGATGATGTGTCTGACATTTCTTGGTGGGGCAGTGCCCTGTCTATGGCCTGACACTTAGTAGGTGCTCAGTAACTTTGTGTTGCATTATTTACTTGAGAACGAACATTTATTGGGCACCTATTAAAGTACTAGGCACTGTTAGGAGCTGGGGAGAACTGGAGAGTCACGCTGGAATGGTGCTGGCGCTTCACAAAGGCCTTTCAACATCCCTGATTTCATCTCATCCCTGAAAAGCTGCTGAGAAGAGATGAGGGTACATTAAGTGGCTTGCCCAAGGTTCCTGGGGGATCCCTGACTTGACGAGTGAGAGGTTCTGGGCATAGTCTGTTTCCTCCTTAGTTCTTCAAAACTGGGGGTTGGGTGCTGTGGGAGCATGCAGAAGGTGTTGCTAGTTTGGAGTTGTTCTTCCAGACCGAGGGGCACCTGCAGAAGTGGGGGTTTAGGGGCACAGGGCTAAGGCAAGAACGCATTCCCAGCTGCCTATTCTGCCCACTGATTCTCCTGTCTTCTGCAGACCGACCAGCAGGCTGAGGCCCGGTCCTACCTCAGCGAGGAGATGATCGCTGGTGAGTGGGAGTGGGTGCCAGCTGTCTGGTGGATGTATGCTGGGGAGTGTTTGGGCAGCGTGGGAGTGGAAGGGAAGATGTGAGACCACCTCACAGCCAGGCTCACCCCAGCCCTCTGCCCTCCTTCCTCTGGCAGAGTTCAAGGCTGCCTTTGACATGTTTGATGCTGATGGTGGCGGAGACATCAGCGTCAAGGAGTTGGGCACCGTGATGAGGATGCTGGGCCAGACACCCACCAAAGAGGAGCTGGACGCCATCATTGAGGAGGTGGATGAAGATGGTGAGTAGGTGGCCCCTCCAGGCAGGGGTGCACTGGTGGTGGGGAGATGCAGGCTTCCAGGGCAAAGCTCACTCACCACCTGCTGCCCTTAGGCAGCGGCACTATCGACTTTGAGGAGTTCTTGGTCATGATGGTGCGCCAGATGAAAGAGGACGCCAAAGGGAAGACCGAGGAGGAGCTGGCCGAGTGTTTCCGCATCTTTGACAGGTGCACTGGGGACATGCGGCTCGGGCAAGGCGCTGAGCAGCCCTGGTCTGGCCGGGAGGGCACTTAGGTCCCACGGTTGGGGGGTGAGCGAGGGGGCGTCCGCGTGGCCAGGGCAGCTCGCCCAGCCTGTCCTGAGCCCCACCCGGTTCCTCCGCCCCGAAGGAACGCGGACGGCTACATCGACGCGGAGGAACTGGCTGAGATTTTCAGGGCCTCTGGGGAGCACGTGACAGAGGAGGAGCTCGATTCCCTGATGAAAGACGGTGACAAGAACAACGACGGCCGCATCGACTTCGACGGTGAGGGCTGCGGGAGCGAGGGGAGCTAGGCGCCACGCGGGCGAGGCCGGGGCGTGCCACCCGTGCAGCTGGCACCGACGCGCGTGTCCTTAGCCTTGTTAGGGGCGAGGGCAAGTTCTTCTGGACTCTGGGGCGAGATGTGAGCTCTGCGCGGTTTTGTGCAATTTACCCATTAACGCCACGGCATCTCTCCGCGTGGCCGGAGCCCTGGCCAGGCCTCACTTCTTCCCTGACACTGAGCCCCTGGCACAGGCCTCGGTGTGCCGAAGGCGCCTGACCTCCCCTCCCTCTCCCTACCTGCAGAGTTCCTGAAGATGATGGAGGGCGTGCAGTAAGAAGCCGGCCCTCGCCTGCTACGAGACCGCGCGTCCCTTGGGCGCAGAGGGCGCCACCCCCACCGGCACTCATTCCCCGTCCCAGGACAAAGCGCGGTCCCTTTGGGATCTGTGTCCGGAAGAAATAAAAGCAAACACTGCAAAGCCGTGGCCTGAGTGAGGGGAGAACCGAAGGAGCGGGTGGCCGGGGCCGCCTGGCTGGGCCGCCATGCAGGATACTACCCAAGCGCCCTCCAGGCTCCAAGGAGAGGCGACTGGGGCAACCCGGGATGCGGACGGGTGCCGGGTTACAGGAGCCCGAGGCGGCGGCCATCCAGTGCTGGGCAGGGTCGGCAGGTCGGCGGATCGGCGACGGTGGCGCTGGGCGCTGGAGGAGGGAGACCGGCCACAGGGGCTTTGAGCCGAGCCTGGGTAAGCCGGCGGCCTGCGGGAGAGTGCAGTGCCCGACAGCTGGTAGGGTGAGGGCACAGCCCCTTTCTTTCCCACCGTCCTTTCTGGAGCCTTTTGGTCTTGGGTACACACGGTTAGGGTGGGAGGAGTTGTTGTCCATCCATCCCAGGAAGCACTACTCATGCTTGACTTTTTCTATTCCTGTTTTTCTGAGCGCTTATAGGTGCTCCGTCCTGGCCATAGTAGGGGAAGTTAGGGGCACACAGCCAGGAAGGTTCTGACCTCATCATCTCCACCCCATTCCTGCCTTCCAGCCCCATCCATGCGTACAGCAGAGGGCCATCAGCTAAAATGAAATCTGATCTGGCCACTCCCCCTGCTGACAATTCTTCAAGGCGCTCTCCACTGCGACTAGAATCAAATCTAAATTCCTTCCTTTCTTGCCCTCCCTGTCACAGCCACCCCTCCCCTCCAGAGCTCCTGCTACACGGGGCAATTTATCATTCCTGCTGTGAATAGTGGGGTATACTTACCAGCCTTTGGGCCTTTGCACATGCTGTTCTCCTTGGAATGCTTGTGCTCCTCTAATAAGCCTGGAAAATTCTTCAGCCCAGCTCAGATGCCATCTCCAAAATACCAACACCCAGCTCAGATACCATCTTCTCTTCTCTTGATCCCTGCCAGGGGGACATGCTGCACTCTGTGACTTCCACGGCTCTTTGTCCATAACCAATTATATAACAGGTGTCAGGTGCAATGGTAGTTTAGAGTCAGACTGCCCAAGTTTGAAGCCCCACTGCCGGTGACAACTCTGGTTGTTTTCTAATTTGTAAAATGGGGATAATGAGAGTACTTACCTCACAGAGTTGTGAGAACTAGTTAATGTGTGTAAAGTGCTTAGAACAGAGCCTGGCACACTGTCAGCATTTAATAATGCTATTATTAACATTACCACCGTCTTGAAACACTGGGCTCTACTGTTACTGTCACAGTGCTTCCTCTCCAGCTCCTTCATGTTCTTTTCTCCCCTTTCTGTCCCATTCATGTTTCCCAGTTTCTGTTTCTGGCCAGGATCAGTGCTGGAGCTCAGTAATCCCCATCGATTGCCTACTGTGTGCTGTGCCTGGCAGGGATTGTCTCATTCTTCTGCGCAACCCTGGAGCCAGATGCTGTTATTATCTCCGTTTACATTCAGTTGATGAAACAAGGCATAGTGAGACCATATCATTCTATGGTGCAAACAGGAGCAAGTCTCTTACCTGGGGTGCCACCTACCTGTTGACAGTTTTACCTGGATGTGCTGAGTACTTCAAACTGGCTCTGCTCTAAACTGATAAATGCCCTTCCAGCTCTGTCTTGTTCTCCTCTTTCCTATCTCAGGGACCAGACTGGAGTCGGGGATTCTGGAGCTCTTTTCTCACTCTAATTCCTTGCTGTGCCCTGCTACTCTGTCTCCTCACCATGCCATCCCTGCTCTCCACGTCTCTCCCACTCAATGTGATATGGTTGCTGCCATTGCTTACCAGGCCCCTGAAAACAGTTAACTCCTCCCTTCCATGCATTCCTCAGGTGGCAGCCAGAAGGATCTAATACCAAATCTGATCATGTCGCTGTCCTGCTCAAGGCTTCATTAGCTGCCTGTTGCCCTCAAGATAAAGCCCAAGCATTTTAATAGGCCTTAGCCTTTAGAGCTAAAGGCCAGAGCCTTTTGAGCCCTTGTGAACCACCTTCTCTTACTTCACCAGTCTGTGTTCCTCCGTCTCCCATATCCTTGAACTTCCTGCTATCCAAGGAGTGTGCTTTCTCTCCTGACCCAATCCTTCTCCAGAAAGCCTTCCTTGACCCTCCTAGTCTGTTAGGTGCTCTGACTCTGAGCTTTCATAGCCACATGTGAGTCTAGTACTCGTTTATTGAGTTCTTACTATGTGCCAGACACTATTCTAAGGTCTTCCATCTATGATAAAGCTACTAATAATTCCACTTTACATACCAGTAACACAGGGGTGGAACAGGGACTCTAACACAAGTTGTTCTGCCCAGCAGGTCTGAGCTCATCACTCTATAGGGCATTTGGCCCAGTCAACATGCCTATCTATGCCCTGAACTTTAACCTCTGAGGACAAGACTGTGTCCTTTTCTGTTTTACCCCCAGCCTAGGCATAGGGTCTTGACCCTGTAGGCATACAATAATCCTGCCAGGTGAATGGGAACAGAACAATCCTACCTTCTAATACTTACTATACTTAGGTTTTTTGTTGCAAGTGTCAGATATCCAATCAAACTGACTTATACTAAAAAGGGATTGTTGGGTCTTGAGACTGGGATGCACAGTCATGACACAGAGGCCAGAGTCTCAAGCAATGTCATCTTCATCTCTCAGCTGTTTGCCTCTGCGTGGCTTTCTTCCATTGGCAACTGTCTCCACCAGCAACCCAGATGACTCCCTCCTCTTTTAACTCAATTAGTAAAATAATTTTACTTTCTCCCAGGGACTAATTTCAGGTTAACACTTTGGCTCTGAACTACAATGTAGAGTTGGGTCCCTGTGACTGAAACTGGTAGGCCAAGTGATCATCTGGGGGACCAAACAGGAAGGTCAAGGATCACACGGAGATGCTCCATAAGGCAGGCAAAAACACAACCACCCTGGCCAGCATTTAAGAACTAGTTTAGTGCCAGGTTCTGGGCTCTGCTCTTCTCCAACATCCTCTAACCTGGCCATTTTCAAAATTGTGAGAGCTTTAGAATAGCCCCGAGAGCTTGTTGGGGTCAAGAATTTGCATTTCTAACAAGTTCCAGGTGAAAGACATGGAGAACACTGCTCGACACGTGTTTAACTAGACCACAGCAATGATTATTACCTGGGAACTGATTCGAAATACAGAACCTCAGGCCGCACCAACTTCCAAAATATGCATTTGAAAAAGACCCCAAGATTTACAGGCGCCTTAGGAGCAGCACTGCTAAGCCTCCTGGAGAGAGCTAACAGCACAGTCCAAAAGGAGGAAGCAGAAGAGGACGTCCGTTTCAACCCCAGACAAGGTCACTTCTCACACGTGGCTGCTTGGTGGGGACACAAAGCAATTAAAGGGCCTGGGCTTGCAGGAGTAAGAGGAAGGGGTAGATGAGAACCTTGCTGTTGGTCCCTCTGCTATCTCCTCCCCCTCCCTGCCCAACTTCCCGACTTCCATGTTGGATGAGAAGGCCAAGACCCAGGCCTGGAGTGTGCTGGGTGCTGAGTTGTCCACCTTGGATATCTTCCTGCAGGACCAGGACCTGACCATTACCTCAGCCTGCTCTTCCCCCTGCCTGCCCCTGTTGCAACCCAGCTGTCAGGCCAGGGGTCCAGGCTTGCAGGGTGGGGACCTGGGCCAGTGGATGCAGTGGCTGGAGGAACTGCTGGTGGAGATGGAGCAGGAGGTGAATGTGCCCCCTCAGAGGTGGAGCCATCCATGGGGGGCCTGGGCAAGGGGCAAGTGTGAGCTCAGGCCTGAGTGGTTTCCTTCTCCTTTTCCAGGGCCAGAACCATCTATTGCACACGCACACACTCTCTACACAGCTATAGCTCTTTCTGTCTAATCTTTAACAGCTGGGCCAGCTCCAACATTCACTAACATTCCTGGTGCATGTTACAACTCCATAGAAATAGGCATTTTGTGCCACCCATTTTATAGATGAGGGAACAGATGTAGTCATAAAATAACTAAGGTCACAAGGGAATAAATCCTACTCATCCCACTGCTCAGCCCTACAACCTATCAGCTGCTTCTACTCCCTGGAGAGGAGCAGGGCAAGAGCCCAGATGCCAAGCCTGAACTCCACCGACCCTGAGCACCCCTAACTCTAAGACAACTACAAGGCGGCAACTTGTAAAAAACCCAAAATGTATTTATTTACTATATTCACAAGGGCTCAACCAGAGACTTAATTTAAAAAACAAACAAAACAAAAATGACACCACAGCTTAAGATACAGAGTTCTATAGAGAAATCAGGGAAAGGACAGACCATCTAAGGAAAAAATAAAAAGACAACACAGGAGAGAGGCTGGACAGTCAGGGTTCTTGGCTGGAGACCTGCTTTGAGTAGGTTTCTTGAAGGTACTCCTTAAAGGCTGGAAGAGAACAGGCAGGTCTCAGGAGTGATGGGGAAGGAGGGCCGGAGAGTGGCAAGGATGCAAGGGTTGGAGGAGTTTGGGGAGCTGGGGCGGGGTTTCCAGCATAGCAAATTCTCCCTCCACTGCTCACCCAGTTGGGTGTCCTGGATGGGTTCTGCTTCCAGGGAAGCGGGGGAGAGGACCAGGGTGCCTTGGTGAGCAAAGTCATTTGCACAAAGCTTTGCCTTCTACTTAAAAAGCCCCTCAGCCTACATTAATGTGGAAAGGGCCAAATTTCTGATTTTATAGCAAACAGGCAAACCAGAAACATCAAGGCAGAGGCAGAACTGGGTTACCTCGGTTGACCCCCCCTTCCCCATCTCCAACCCAGTTCTCAGGACACAGTCCCATGTCACTGGGATTCTGCTGTTTGAGGGAGCCTTTGAAGGCTGGGGAGGGATCATCCAGTGCCCCGAAGGATGAAGGACCCACCTGTGGGGTTTTTCCAGAGCTCGGCAGCATGTGTGTTCAAAGGGCTGTCAATGTTGGGCTCTGTAGGTGGAGAGCAAAGGAGAATGGTTGGGGGTAGATGGGTGGGGGTGTAAGAGGCTGGCCCAGGGGTGTCCTGACAGGTTTCCAGGTTGCAAGGGAGGGGCTTGTTTCAGAAGTCACCTCCGAGCAGGCTCTGGATGGAGAGCAGGATGGTCCTGACATCATACAGGGCAGACCACTTGTCCTTCAGGATGTCCAGGCAGATGTTACCCTGGGTGTCCACGTTGGGGTGGTAGCAGGGTGTGAGGAACCTCACCGTGGGCGCATTATAAGGGTAGCCACTGGGGAACTCCAGAGAGAGCTTATACCTCAGGTCTTCGTATACCTGGCATCAGAGAAACAGAGGTGGAGAGAGAACCTCACATCCCAACCTGAGCCCCACACAAGGGGGGCTTTTTAGGACCTTTGAGTTTGTGTGGGACTTGACAGAAACTGAGTATTACACTGGTTCTGGCGCCTTCCCTCCTATCTGGTGGGAACATCAGTGATCTTTTGGTCTAAGAGCTGCCAACTGGCGATGCTGATACCACAGCTGGGCATTATTAGTCCAATTAGAACATTAGTTGCTAACATGTTAAAATTAGATTCTGGACACAGATCTGGATTTCTCAATGATCTTAATCCAAATGTGCAGCAAAGGGAAGCTGCCATTTGAGACCTATGCCCTCTCATTGGCCAAAGCCCTCACTTGCTCTCCATTTGTTGCTGTGCTGACTGCCCCCTGTGGGCATCTATGATGGTGAGCCCAGCTTTAAACCCACCTTCTTACAAGACAGAGGGAGACCAGGGCCACAGGCTCAAGTACAGGAATAGACACGGGGGAGTGTCTGCCAGACTGAAGACTTGAAGCAGACCTGGCACATGGATTTCACCTACCCCCTCTCGTAGCAAAGTCGTACTCACCTACCCTGATCCTACACTTACTGTGCCAGCTGCTCCATAGATGGTCCCCACCCATTTGAAAAGGTTGTCTGATTCAGGGAAGGCAGAAATTCCTTTGTCGCCAGACATCTGGGGAGGAAACAACACTTGCTGGGCTGCAGAGTACACTTTTGGGTCAGTGGGTGAACCCCTTCCCCCTAATCTCATTACATTTCCCCAGTCTTGGTTGCTGGGAATTCAGTTCAACATGATGTCGAGTGTTGTGATATTCAAGGCCCAGAGACTATGCACAGGCTAGAGAGATACAATATCAGCACTGGATGATTTGAGGGATGACAGGACTAGAAATATTAAGAAGAGTGGAGAGTTGGTGTGGGTAACTCTTAGGGCAGGGAAGTAGGGCCACGTAGGACTGGGGGAAGACCTAGTAAGACTTCTGGGCTGAGTTTTAGAGAGAACGTCATTGTGGGAGACAGGAGTAGACTGCTGGAAGGGTGGGGTTTACTAACTTCTTCCCAGAAGAGAGCTGACTCATCTTTTTTACCCGTGTCTAGCAAAGGGCCTGACGTAGCAAGAGGCTACTGATAAGTGAGTGGGAGGTGGCAGGGTGGGCCAGCTTGGGGGTGGGGGGGATCTGGGCCGGTCACTCACCATGAGGGTCATCAGTTCCTGCTGTAGCCTGCAAAATGAGCGTGAGTCATCTGGGAGTCTGGATGGGCCAGGGCTCCAGGTGATGCATCTCCTCCCACCCCAGTCTTTCTGGAGGAGCCATCTTGGAGGCGTCCCCCCTACCCAGAGGTCGGCCTCAGCTGGGGCACACTCACCCCCATTTCCACGGGAGGGTCCTAGTGAGCCCTCACCCTCCCAAATTCCAGGCTCCCGAAGAACGGTTCTGGCTTGTTTTTAACTCCCTTTGCTTCTTTGGTGTCTAGTCTCCGTGTCGGACGTCAATATCTCACCTCCTCCGCGCCGTCAAGCCACCGAGGGCGCCTGGCGCCTCTCTTCCTCCTGACTCACCCATGGAGCATCCTGACAGCGTCCCTATCCGTTCGGTCCTTCTTCAGGAGAGCCTCTGAGAGCAGCCCGAGCTCCTGGAGGGTGCCCCCACCTCCCCTATCTCACTCGCTCCAGGAGGAGGTGGGGGCCCTGGAACTCTTCGCTCTCGGTCCCAGTGCCCAGGACGTGCTAGGCCCAGAAAGTGTTACCTCCGCACTACTCACCTCTTGCCCACGGGGCCTCGGGCGGCGCCTCCGCTGGGCTCAGCTCCTTTCCGGGGGGCGGTGACGCTGGCGGCGGCTGGGTCGCGGTTCTGGGAGGCCATACGGGCGGCGCTGGCAGTAGGACAGGAACTCAAGAGAACACGACTGCAACTGCAGGGATTCGGGCCCACCCGCCCGCGTTTGAATTGCAACCCTCCGGAAGCACTGGCCAATTAGAGCCTCGCTTGGGTTTGATCCGGCCAATGGAGCGCGCCATAGAGCTTTGTCACCGTGCAAGTGCCAGGCCCGCCTACCAGCGGACCACTATTGGACAGCGGGATCCTACTTCTGAGGGACAATTGGCAGAAGAGGCTGCCACTAACTAACAACTCCTAGCGGATTGGCGACCTTTGGAAAAAGCCAGCCATTAAAGGGCTGAGAATAAGTCCACGTGGGACGAGCCCTTTCAGGTCAAATCCCTGGCTTGGCCGGGAACACCCAGCGCGCACAGCCGTAATCCCTACTCCCAGGGAAAGGGTGGGTCTCCAGTCTTGCGGCTCAGGTACCTTTCCCTCAAACCGGAAACCGCTACCCGTCCTATTAAAATGCCTAGGCACCTCTGTTAGGGCCGTAAGTGTCTGAAAATTCATGCGAGGGTAAAGACTAGAGGCTGATGGCTGGAGGAGACTCCCTATTAGAAAACAGGTTCATATGCTGCTTCTCCAACGGTTTGCTGTGTGACCTTGAGCACATCACTTACTGTTTTAACCTGTGAAATGGGGGTAATAGAAGCCACTTTTTCTTCTGGTCTGTCATCAACCCCCCATGGTGTCAGCTATCCTATTCTACTTTCATACCTTGGTTGGGTGAAGAAATAGGGAAGGTAGGCACGATACATGGTGATTCGTTTTGTCTCATAAAGCAAATATGCATGGGGCAGTGGGACCTTCCTAGGTCTAACTTGGAATAGGGTAGTTACCAGGTCCTTTTTTCCCATTCCCACTTCTACAACCCTTGATGTTTTGTCAGCCCCCATAAAGCAGACCAAATAGCAGGCTCACCGTCTGTGTTTATTACAAACTATTTACAAGCTATCTTACCCCAATAACTTTACAAAGGTCTAACTACATGCCAGTCTGGGGGTGCTCTGCAGTGAGTACAAACTAGCCCAGGCACAGCTTAATGCTGCTGAGATCATCTAGGAGCAGTCCCAGCAGTGGCCTCACCCATGTGGGTTATGAGGGCCATGGAGGGGAGCTGCCAAGTGTCCCAGGGGAGTGGGCTTCAGGTTTGTGAAGATGCTCCAGCAGTGCGATGCTCATTCTCTGTCCGTAGTGTCTCCATGTACTTTTTCATCTTCTCAACTATCCAGGAGGGTAGGACAAAGGACTTCAGCTCCTCTAACTTCAGGTCCAGGCATCCTCTGGAACAGACATGGAGGAGAATGTAGACCCAAGATCATCCCAGGGTCTGCTGTGGGTAGGTCAGGGGGCAGGTAGGAGACAGAGCACTTGTTTTACCTGTAGTCATCGCTGGCAGCGAGGTCCCGGATGTCCTCCTCAATGAGGAGGTAGGCCTGGGGCAGGAGCAAAGGAGAGTGGTCACTGCTTCAGATTCATTTCAGTCCAAATTAGTAACACTTTATTAAACGTCTGCTTAATTTAAGGGCTGAAAGGGTAGGGGGCATAGTTTACAATTTAGTAGGGGAGAGTTAAGTAGGGAGAGATTGGGGAATATAGTTCCTTGCAACAACATCTCACTCAAATACAAACTATGGGTGGAGGAGTGGGGACTGGTGACTACTTGATTTATAGCCTCCTGTTTTAAAGAAGGACCCTGAGTTGGTTTAAAGTGAAATGTCAAGAGAGCTAGTAAAATACACAGGGAAACAGGAAATCAGGAGGAGAAAGCCATACATTAACTCTAGGAACTAAGATAATTCGGTTTGGAACTTCATGGCAAAAGGAACAACACGAGGAACGGCACCACTGTCTAGTAACTGGGCTGTACTGCACTGGTGTCTGAAGACCTGCTTGGGCACAATGCCACAGTCCACAGTGGAGAAAGCACTCTCGTGAGCTTACCTGTAGGGGATGTTCATTACATGAGAAAGTCTTCTGTGGGAGAGAATTCCTTCTAGTCTTAGGGTTAGTAATAATTGTGTCCCTTGAATAGTAATTTGATTGTCTTCACGTTATGAGCACTGTGAACTATGTAGTAGATCAGGTGTCCTTGAGAAGAGGCTAGAGCTGAATTTGTGAAAACCCTTAAGAGTATACTGGTCTCCCAGGTCAGCAATGAAGAAAAAAAAAAACCCTTTTAAAACTAATCTTGCTCATGGATTAATTCTAGAACCTCTCTTTCCCTTTCCTCCCTATTTCTTATTTATGCTATGTTGCATTTTATGTACCAATGGTAAGCACCCTGCAATCTTGAAACAGTATAGGGATAAATAGAGTAGTAAAATAACAGACAGCTTTCATCGTCAGAAAGAAGATAACATACTGGTTTGCAAGACCACTGAATTCTAAAAGGAGCAGTTTCAGCAGTGGAACTGAGTGAGTGGGAACACTGCATGTGATGGACAAACCCCTCCATGATAGTTTTAGAACACATGCAATGATGATTTTCCTAAGGTAGTTGCTTGGTACGAGCTGAGAACTCTAAGTAGAGGATTCTGGAGCTGCCAGGTGTGGCAGACAAGTTTCATGGCATGTGCTAACTCCTCCTGACAAGGGATGCTGCCTGGAGCACTGTGTTGAGACAAGATTTATAGCTGTGTCTGGTACAAGGGAGTTAAGATTGATGAGTGAATCTGTCAATGGGCACGAGGGAAAAGTAGTGTTAAGTGTGTCTTGTACCTGCACAGTTAATACAATCTGAATATGGGGGATGATGTGGGACAGTGAGGGGGTGGTGTGGGAGACCTAGGGACAGAGAAGGGAATTCTGGGATTACAGTCTCGTCCTCATCAGGAAGGAGTGGGCCCTCTCTATCCTCACAAGTCTCCCTTTCCACATTCGTCAGTCTTTGAGAGTCTCAGATTTGGAGGCAAGCTGCTACCAATAACCAGAACCCGGTTCCCTCAGCTGGGGAGCTCTGTGGCAGAGGCACATGTCACCATTGCTTACCATCTTCCCCCCTGTTGCCCGCATGTGATGCTGCTCAGCCAGCCAGTGCTTGTCCTGGGGGTCAGCTGCGTACTGTGAAGGAGGAAGTTACAGGGGAGACATCAGCCTGTGAGAGGGCTTTTCTCATGTGGTCCCGCAGAATAGCCTTGGCCCTTGAGCAGTTCTTAACAAGAGCTCGCCCTAGCCTGGTGGGTGTAGAGGGTGCATCAAACCCTTCTGAGCAGGCGGAGCCACACCCAGGAGGCCAGGGTATGGGTCCCAATTCCCAGAGGTTTAGTACACTTCTAATTCCTACCCCTTTCCTTTCTCAAATCACAGCATCTCTGGTAACTGGCAGAGACTGATGGCTATTATTTTAGAGCTCTATTCCTCTTGGAAAGGATGAGCTGAGGAGGCTTACAGCATGTTTTTATTGTTAGATATTTTCTAAAACAAAAAATCAGGACATTTCATGCTCTGGGGGAGGAGAAGAGCCTCATGACTAAGAACATGGTTTTAGAGTCAGACAAATAAGGTTTAAATTCTGGTTTCTTCCACTTATTAGATAGTATAAACCTGGGCAATAATTTCCTTGAGTTTCTTTATTTGTAAAACAGAGTATTAATACTTATAGGGTTGCTGTTAAGAATACATGAGGTAGCGCATAAAAATGGTAACTGACACACAGTAAGTGCTCAGTAAATGTAGGGTTTCTAAATTGTTAGAACATTTGAAATAGAGATCAAGCTGTGAAATCTATGGTTATTAACCTTTGGAGTTTAACCATCTCATTTCCCAAGTAATAAAAATTTTTTTTCCTTTTTAAAAATTGAAGAATAGGTGACATACAGTATTACATCTGTTTCAGTGCATAAACCCAAGTAATTCAAATATTAATAAAAAATTTTAAAGTGTGTGTTTTTCTGACCCAGCAATTTCATTTCCAGGGTTTATTCTTCAGAATCACCCACACATGTGCACAAAGATAATTGGAGCAGCATCGTGTACAACAGCAAAACTGTTGTAGAAAACTTAACTCCGTTAACAGGGAAGCAATGTTATGGAATATTTATCCTATGAATTCTACATAGCTGTTAGAATTAAAATGAGGGAGACTTAATTTAATAACATGAACAAATCTGTAGGATATTATCTACTAGATTTATAGTGGTCAGCATACTTTTTCTATGACAGTCAGTAAATATTTTAGGCTTTGCGGCCACATCTACCTTTGTCACATATTTTTTTTAATCACCCTTTAAAAACATAAAAACCCTGACTTGGACAAAACAGGCTATAGGCTGGATTTGGTCCACATGCCATAGCTTGCCCTGCATTAGAATGGAAGCTTATGCAGGCAAGAACTTCATATTTGTGTGTCTTGTTCACTTCTGTACTCTGGCACTTTGAGAATTCTCAGCATTCAATAAATATATGTTCAATGAATGAATGAATCCTTTTTTAAATCAGAGAATAATATATAGTATGATCTCAATAACATAAATGAAATATCACACCCACATGTGCATCAGCAGGGGACTGAAAGATGCCACCATGTGGTTGGTAGTGGCCTCTAGGGAAGGAGAGTCAGAATCAAGGGTGAAGGGGAACTTTGTTTAATTCCCTGTTAGCTTCTGTTTGAATATTTTTACAAGAATTAGTTTACATATTATTTCTATAATTAAAAAAATTTAAAAAGGAGAGGAAAAACTTGAATAATGCCTTTAGTAGGACAGAAAAATGGGCAAAAGATACAGTTTACAGAAAATACACTAAATGAGTGAAAAGATACTTATTGTCACTAACAGAAATTAAAAGTAAGACATTTTCCCTCTACTTCTTAGACTGAACAGATCAAAATGAGAGAGAGTATCCACTGGTCATGAGAGTGTGGGTCGGGAGCTGATTACAAATGGTGGGTCTCAGAATTGGGAATGTATGCCGGTAATAATCCTTAACATTTTTTGCGCCCTTACTATGTGCCAGGCATTGTGCTGGGTGCTTTACTGCACTCTCTTAATTCTATCTACCCTAAAAGGTTGTTCTGAATCATTCTCATTTTATAGATGACGAAAGGCCCAGACATGGTGGAGCCCTTTGCCTAAGGTCACACAACTAGTAAGTAATGGCAACAGGAGTGAAACCACACTCTTAACCATTGTGCAAGAGAAGTTCAAAGTAGGTCCAAAAGCACAATCTATTTGGGGGACAATACTAGCAAGAGTCTTGGAAGAGGTGGATCTTAAAGAATAGTCCAGCAGAGTTAAGGGTTGGGGAGGGAGGTCATCAACAGCAGGATGGGAATGGCAGGAATGGAGACACTACCAGAGGAAAATGAAGTACCAAGCAGGTCAGGTTGTCTGTGTGTTGGGAATCCCAGGATGTAAGATAAAAAAAGTAGAGGAAGTAGGTCTGCCCTTAAAAGAACTTGAACTCACATAGAATGCAGTAGAGAGAGCCTATGATTCTGGGACCCCAGAAGAGCTGTATTTCTGGCAAGGGGTACCAAGTCTTATGTATAGGTGCAAAAAACCATGTCTTGAACACATGCACACTACTGTTTTTCTAATATATTCAGATGCTTTTGTGACTGATAAAATACAGATTCATTTAGGAGGGCGAGTGACTTCATGGTTCCCCCCAACCCCAGTATTTTCTTAAGTAGTGGAGACTGAAGCACAACTGCTGAGTGAGGAATCCCCTCTTTGAAAAGGGTTAGAACTGCTGACTCTTCCAATCTCTTTATTTTATAGACAACTGAATAGGCTTTGCTGAAGACAGACCCAGATTTGAATCCTGACTCACCACTTACTAGGTGAGAAACTTTGGGCAAGTAAGTTAGCGTTTCTCAACCTCCTTTATTTATTTATTTTAAACGGCCTTTATTTTTGATTTGTAAAATATGGATAATAATACCTATCTTAAAGGGAAGTTCCATGAGATAATGCAAGTTTAGCAATTAAAACTGTGATTTGGTGCACAATAAACATATCTGGAAAGGAGCTGTTATTATTGAAGCACAGAGGTGTTGAGTAAACTACAGAAGGTCAAGGTTAAGGGCAGGAGGGCAGCTAGAACGCAGGTGTCCTCATTTGGGATAAGTGTTTGTTCCAAGCTGCTCTGCCATCTAGATTTCCCAGAGCCATCTACTCCCCCTGCGATGGCCTAACTCCCAGCACTCACCTACCTTAAAGAGGTATGGGTGCTTGATGTAGATTCTCCCTCTGGTGCCCCCCATCCCCAGGGCCCTGCAAAGTAACAGATGAGTGGTAAGGATTCCAGCAGCTGCAGGGCCAGTGGTAGACTCTCAAGTTTTCCCCTCCCTTCACACCAAAGCTTTTAGACTTACTTGTTGGCTCGAGATCCCAACACAAAGGTGGTAGATTCATTCAGCCGAGCTGGGTCCCACTATGAAAAAAGACAGAGGCTGGCGAGGGTGAGGTTTATCTGGTGGGCAGGACAGAAACACTCCTCTTCCTGCCTCTCCTACCACCATCCTTGTCCGTTACTCAAATCAGTTGATTCTAAAACCGAGTGCGGACTGTATGCCAGGCCCTGTGCTAGACACAGGGATAGGTGATGAATAAAATTCTGCCTCTTCTCCAGGGGCCACAGACATCTGTACAGATAATTGTGCCATCACGAGATGGACAATGACACAGATGAGTGCAGGGCATGAGGGAGCCAAAAGAAGGGGTAACAGGGAGGCTTCCTTGAAGAGGCAATTCCCAAATTAATTCTGAAAGGATGAGCACAAGTTAGGGCCGAAGGGAGGAAGAAGGGGCAGCGTGAAGAGAGGCAGGTGAGAGCTGGCTTGGCATGTTGGAGAAACCTCAAGCATGGTGTTGCTAAAGGAAAGAGAGCAATTTAGGGAGTGGAATTGATGAGGCTGCTATCAACTGAGAAGCAGAGAGGGGCTGGAGGCCCTTTGTTTAGACGTTTGCATTTTACTTTTCTGCAGGCCATGGGGAGTTATTGAGGGCCTCTAAACAGGGACAGCCAGGTTTGCTTTAAAGAGAGCCGCCTCTTCCACAGTGTGGTTAATGGATGTGAAGTGCCAACACTACAGGCAGTGAGAGCAGTTTAGAGCGTTTGGTAAAGCATTTTTGAAAGAAGATGAGGGTCTGAGCTGGGAGAGCAGTTGGATGAACAGGAGCCCTGATATATTTAGGAAAGAGAATCATCTAGGATGTGAGTGGATGTAGACAGGGGAAGGAAAGGAAGAGGGAAAGATGACTAAAGTAGATAATGTAAAAGGTCTATGAGGGACGATTCCGATTTCAATTTTGGATATGCTGAGTTTGAAATGCTATGCAAATTCTAGGCAGGGAGGTCTAGCACACAGTAGGATATACAAGTTTTAAACTAGAAAGAGAGGTATGGGATGAACAAAGAGGTATGGCAACTTTAGCACATACTGGTCCCTGAAACCATAAGAATGAGTGACTTAGATAATCCAGAGAGAAACTTTAGGGAGTGAAGTGGGCCAAGGAGAGAATTCTGGAAAATACCTATTTATATGGGTTGCTGCTGAGGAAGAACAACTCAAAAGAGAGAAGGGATGTTTGAGGAGGAACAGAATGACCTCAGAGAATGTAGGACCACTCTAAGGGAGCAGAATTTAAGAAGAAAGGTGTGCTCACCTCCCTGAAGGCAGACAGGCCAGTCAGAGAAAAGGTGGACCATTTCTACTGGACATGGCCTCCACAGGGCAGACGAGCTTTCACCTACCTTACTGGGCTTCTATATTTGATTTTATTTAATTCTACTGCTAAAAGGGCTTGTGAGCAGTTGTTCTGGACGCAATAGGGGCTAATGGTTAAGAGCATAGGCTTTGGTGTCAGTGGACCTCAGGTTTGAGACTTGGCTAGGTATGTGACTCTGAGCAAGTCTCTAAGCCTTAATACACACTCAAGTGCATTTAAGTGTGTAACTAGATAAAATAATTTCTGCCCACAAGCAAGCTAGTCAGGAAAGAAAGCTCCTCAACTACAGAAGGGTAACAGAATCTATCTCACAATCTTTATAAAGATCAAGTGAGATAATTCATATAAAAAAATTTAAGGCAATGCCTGTCATATGTTAAGAAGTGAGTATCAGTCACGTGGTGTGGGGATCACGGGGAGAACAGTGTAGCACAGAGAAGGCACATAGTGAATCAGTGGCATCTTGCTGCACTGATGGACAGTGACTGCAGTGGGGTATGGGTGGGGACTTGATAAAATGGGTAAATGTAGTAACCACATTGTTTTCTCATGTGAAACCTTCATAAGAGTGTGTATCAATCATACCTTAATAAAAAAATTAAAAATAAATAAATAAAATGAACATGTACAATTTAAAAAAAAAGTGAGTATTAGTGACCATTACTGTTTACAGGGAGGTTTTGGTGAAGACTCAAGGCCTCTCTTTGTTTTGCCCCTAATTTCAATCCCTACTTTGAATCCTGAGAGGCCAGATATGGAGGTGGGGGGAGGCGGAGGGGCAAGACAGCTCTGGGATGGTGTGCACACGCCTTCTCCGCCCTGGCCTCCTGGGGCGACCCAGAGCCTTGACTGAGTCTCCCCAGGATAGCAGTGACCGCCATGATCATACCTTGGGGCCTTCTCTGCGAATTGGTTCACAGGATTTTGGTTTCCATCTGATTGGAAGGAAAGAAGAGAGGTGAAGCACTCCAGGGTGAGGCCTGGGGCTGGAGGAAAGCTCGCTGTTGGTAGCGGGGGGCTCCTCACACACTCCCTTTAGCCCTGGCTGTGCTTCTGCCTAGTAACCCACTAGAGGAGGTACAAAGGCAAAAGCAACGGGCTTGAAGCCATTCCTGGACTAGCTCTAAAATTACCCAGCCAGCGGGCAAGTCCAGGGATCTCCCTGAGTTGTAGTTTCCTCATCTGTTGAGAGGAGATGATGGCACCTGCCCCAACTGTCTAGCATTTGTGAGGAATTGGAGTGCTGCAGGTGGGATACAAATCCGAGGCAGGAGGATTAATATTATTCCATCTCAAGTGGTTTCACACTATCCCCATTGCTCTCAACCAGACCACTGCGGCCGTATCTGCTTTATATACTGGACTTCCACAGGAAGTTTTGTCTGAAAAGATTCTGTTGCTTCAGGAATCTTTGAAAATGACCGCTGTGGAGGTGAGGCAGGAGTCTTGCCCCTGACTAGCTGATGACCTTGGGCAAGTAATTCTGTTTTCTTACTTGCAAAAATTAATTATACCTTCCTTAGAATGTGGCTGTAAGGATTAAAAGGTAAAGTAATAAGGTGTTCAGACCAGTTGTGGCACATTATAAGCATTCAATATTTACTAACAACAAAAAACTGGTGTGTAATCTAGCTGGGCTGAACTGTTCTGGGGTAAAAACAGGGTAAAACCATCTCCTTGCTGCCTTCTTTCCCTACCCCTCAAACCAGAGTAATCCTCCTCCATGGTAACGTAATCACTTGGCACAGAACTCTGGCCTCCTCCCTTCCGGGTCGACTCCCCTTCCCACCTTTGGCTCTGAGCACAGGGCGGCCCCTACTTACACCATGCCGGCAGCTGCCCGGTCATTTGAGATCATGTGTCCAGGAGGCCGTCCCTTCCTCTGCCATAAAGAACAGCTGTCAGAGGCCCAGCCCTGTGGGAAGACCCTTCCCATCCCACTGGTAGGTCCCGGGTCACTTGGTGGAGATAATTTTCCAAAGAGACCAAATGACTCTTGAGAGTGAAAAGGGAGAGTGACAGTTTCCAGGGTTCCTGATTCTTGTGCTCAGAAGGTCCACAGGTGCATTACGGAAGCCCACTACCTTCTTCGGGAGCTCTAGACCCTCTTCCCAGCCAGAAAAAGTCAAGATGGTTTACCTTTCTGGGAATGGGGCTTCCACGATGGGCACATTCCTCTTCTGCCTGCTTGGCACGCTGGAAAAGAAGGGAAGGGAGTCAGTGGAAGGCCAGCACCTGGGAGCAACAGGTGCCCTGAGTTGCAGAAGACAGAGCCCCTGGCTTACATCCTCAGCCCCTCCCTGAGCCAGGCCTTAGAAGCCCTCCCAGCATGATGCTATTTGGAGCTGGGCATACAAATGGGTGGTACATGGAACCTCCCTGGGCCCATACAGGTCACCTGCCTGCCAGCCTGATGGGTCTGCCCCTCCAATACCCCAGGACACAGTGACTCTGACCTTTATTCCTGGAAGCTCATGGATCGATCTGGGCATTACTTTTTCTCCATCAGGAAACAATAGTTTAGCCTGAAGGGAAAAGACCAAGTGTTAACAGTCACTATTTTGGTGGGTAAGCCTTTCCACTTCCATTTTTATAGACATAACTCCAAGTTGGGATAAAACTTTTCTATGGTCAGTGCAAGGGCATCCCAAGATATGCATATAGGTATCTTAAAAAAAAAAGAAGAGAAGCTCAAGTAATTAATGATCATTGTTGAAAAATTAGAAAATGTTAATAAGCAAAAAAAATCAAAGCTGCAATCTCAGTACCCAGAGAATATCATTAATATTGCAATGTAAATTATCAATTTTCATGTAAGTATGTTTTCTAAATGCATTACTACAATATATATTCCTCAGTAAGCTGTTCTGCATTTCCTAAGTGCTGAGCACCTAGTACATAAGTGCTGGAGACACAGCAGCAAACAGCAAAAGCAAGGTCCTTGCTCCCGTGGAGCTGATATTCTGTGGGTGATTTGGGCAATAAGCAAATGAATAAACATGTAGTCAGGATAGTTTTGGATGATGATAAATGCTCTGAAGAAAAAAACCCAGGCAGATATGACAGGATTACGAGGGGAGGCCTTGCTGGGAAGGCAGCGTCTGGGCTGAGACGGGAAAAGGCAGCGGCTAGAAGAGCTGAGAAGTGGAGCAGCAGCAGGGAGGAGTGCGAGAGCCCTGTGGTGGGGACAGGTGATGCCCTGGCAAGTAACGGGCAGCAGAGTGGTGAGTGAGGAGCGCGGCAAGGCTGGCAGGGCCCGTGGGCCCCTTGAAGAGCTGGATCCGGGGGCTTCCTGGAGCAGCACCGCACAGCCCGAGCACGCCCCTTTGCTCTTGGCTGCTGGCCCTCCTCCACTTCTCTGGCCATCTTTCTCGGCCTTCCTTGCCGGCTCAGCCTCCTCAGTCTGGTTCATTCTACTTTCATTGGTATTCTATCTGCTTTCATCTATGCTCACACTTCAATTAACATCTATAAACTGATGAAGCCCTGGTTTATCTTCAGCTGTAGCCTCTCCTTTTAGCTCTAGATTTATATAACTGTTTGCCAAATGTCTATGCATGGATGTCCCAAATTTGCTAAAGTCCAAACTTGAGCTCATGATCTTCTCCAAACGATCTTTCCTTTTCAGTGAAGAGTATGCAAATCTCAGGGTGTAACTAGGTACATGTTTGTGTGGTAATTTAATTCATACTTGTCTGCCTAATGAGGTTCTAAGTTCTATGAGAGCAGGAACCCTGTTTGTTCATTTGCCATTTGTTCATCCATGCATTCACTCAGTCATTCAACACACACTTACATATTAAGAGTCATATTCTAGGGCTGGGAATACAGCAGTGAACAAGATCAGGTCTCAACTCTGGTAAAGCTCAAGATTTTAGCAGAGGTAGAAGTGGGAAGAGGCAGAAAATGTATGAACTATTAATAATTTCAGACTGAAATAAATAATAGAAACAAACAAGTGAAGATAAGAGATTACCTGGAGGTGAGGAAGGGAGTAAGATGGGGGCTACCTTAACGAAGTGGCCAGGGAAGGTCTCTTTGATGAGGTGATATTTAAGCTAAATCTGAAGAGAAGAGCCAGCTGGGTGAAGAGTTAAGTGTGCCAGACAGTGAGAACAGCAAGTGCAAAGGCCCTCGAGCTTGGTGTGCTGCAGAAGCAGAAAGGACTCCAGCACAGTCAGAAGAGAGTCAGTAAGTGGGTGTGGGTGTGGGTGGGGTGTGAGGTGAAGTTAAGGAAATAGAAAGGGCCAGTTCACATAATGCTCTGTGGGTCACAGTAGGGCATTAGAGTTTTACTTTGCCCACCATGGGAAGTCACTGAAGGGATTTAAAAAGGGGAGTGACACAATCTGATTCATCTTTGAAAAGATGGGTCTGGCTATTGTGAAAACCGACTGGAGGAAGGTATAGAGTGGAAGGAGCTTAGGGCTGAGATATCCATTTGGAGTTCAAGAGCAGCTAAACTGACTTCAAAGCCACAGGACCAGATGAAATCACCTAGAGTGGGCCACGGAAGAGAATGGGTGAGAGGGCACAACTCAGGAATGCCCCCGCAGCTGGAGGCCAGGTGGAGAAGCTGAGTTGGCCCAGGAGGCCGAGGAGGGGCGGCCAGTGTGGCTGGAGCCAAGTGCAGGCCCTGGAGCCGAGGGAGGCGTGTTCCAAGAAACACGGAATGACCCACAGGGACGAATGTCGCACAGAAGCAGAGTTAGCTAAGGACAGCAGGTGTGCACAGGACTCGACAACATGGAGGTTACTGGTAACCCTGAAAAGAGGGGCTGCAGTGAGGTGGTGAGGACTGAAGCCAAAACCAAGTGCGCACAGGAATGAACAGGAAGTGACACAGTGGAGCTATGGTGGCCCCTCTTCCCAAAGCCTGGCTGTAATAGGGAAAAGAGAGAGAGTGTGGTAGCTGAAGGGGGTTGTGAGTTCAAGAGGGGTCTGTTTTTGTTCCCTACTGTGTTCCTGGTGCCCCAGTGAATGAACATGTGTGTAAAAAAATATATAGGGAAAAGAAGGAAACTCATCAAAATGGTTATAGAAGTTATTTCTGGTAGTGAGATTATGAGAAGTTTTCATTTTCTTTTTTATAATTTGTATTTTTAAATTTTAATATGGTACCAGCATCAAGTAATATTTATTGAGTCTTTGTTACTGATCTAAATGCTTTAAGAGTATTCACACATTTAATTACAAGAAACTTTGAATTAACAAAATTAATCAACAATCCTATGAGGTAGAAAGTCCCCATTTTGCAGATGAGAAAACTGAGGCTTAGTATGTGGTAACTTGGCTGAGGTCACACAGCTAAGCAGTGGTATCTTGTATCTAGGCAGTCTAAATCAAGAGAAAGCTTGAATTCTTAACCAACATGCAAAACTTTTCTTAATGAATGTATAATACTTGCATAAATAAAATGCATAAAAACAACTACCCTGCAAAACAAAATTAAACAAACAACCCAAGGCAATGGGCTGTGGGTAAGATCAGCTACTTCTCCCTATGAAATACATGTAAAGGGGCAGCAATGGAGATTTGGGAATACCACTGAGATGGTCATAATGTGGGATCTGATGTAACAACCAGCAAATCAAATCTTAATCCAACTCAAACTATTAAAACCTACTCTAATTCTATCATGTTCAGCCTCACGATTCTTTTAATGCAACAAGAAGTTCTGCATGCAGTTTAGACAGGGGACCCCAAAGAGCTTCCAAGTCCCTGGCCACCTGAGAGCTAGGCTCTGTAATGAGGCAGCAATATGTATTATGTGTAGTTTTGAATATAACTAGTATTTATTTAATATCTAGTGTGTTCTCTGTTGTATGTACCCACGCTGTGTTGTAGTTTATGTATATTGTGCCATTTCATCCTCATAGCAAACCACTGGTGGCAGGGAGTGGTCTTATGCCTAACTTTAGAGATGAGGAAATTGAGGGTCAAAAAGGTTAAGAGACTTAACCTTTAAAAGTTTGATTCATCTGGTTTCAAGTTGGATGTTGGACTTTCTGCCTTCCCACTCGGATTCTATGTGTTCTGACCACCTGACCTGGTCTACTCTGGCTTCCCACTTACATTAGTATTGGAAAGGGGGAACCCTGCAAGGTAGACATGGGGATTCAGGAGACTGGAAGGTATGACCATTCACGGCATGTAGGTTATGCCTAATTCACTTCAACTTCAGTTATCACCAGGCAGCTCTTCTGCTTAGAACTCCATGCTGATAATTTCATTTGCTCTGCCTGATTTGGCCTCTGCTTACCTCTCCACCTCTGAGAACCAGTGACACTGTTTCTTTCTGTTCCTTAGAAATACTAAGCTCCCTTCTGCCCCTGGGCTCTGTACCCTTTAGCATACCTTCTCATTGCTTCCTATGCTTATACACTTAGAGCAGTTTGTAATTACAGATCTACTGTGTGATTACTGAAGTAACGTCAGGGCTCTGGGGGCTATGTCTGTTTTGCACAGCACTGCTGGGGCCTAGTATAGCATTGGGCATATAGTCGGCTCTCAATACATATTAGCTGAAGATTTAAATAAATTCAAGAAAGTGTTGTGGGATGTGAGAGTGAAGGTTTTATCAATTTAATCTTGATTCAGCTCAGACTTCTAAGAAATTAGCAAACTTCCATGTTTTATTGTCAGCAAATGTTACAACTGATGATAATATACTATATTCCCAGAGTCAGTTAGGGAGCTGGCCTCTTATGAATTTGGTGAACTTACATTTAATATTCTATAAGGACCACATCAGCTTTCACTGCACTGACAGGATGGAGTTCTGCCTTTTTAAAGCTGCGGTCCAGGCCCTGGTCTTGCTCTTTTCTGTGGCTGTGCCTGAGTAGTTGGCTAGCCAGTCTCCCAGAAGACACTACTCTTTTTTACCTCATGATAATCACCCTCATAGGACTGGACTCAAACCAGCCCTGGTGGCTCTGATTATGAAGACATTTCCATCTTGACAGCTAATGGTTTCCTAGTCAAGCACAGAATCTGAGTGATGCTGACAATTCCTAGTAATCACAGAAGCTGACACATACAAACAGGTTCACTACTGTCTTGGGAACACAACCACTTACAGGCCAGACGTCATGCCTCCTGACCACACCTTGAGAGGCAGGGAGGCAGAAGAGGTGATAGTCCCTGTGATACCAAAAGGGGCTGTAACTACATGCAGCATCGTCACCAAGCACTTGCAGAGGTGAGGCAGACCTTAGCTATTCCCATTCATGCTACCATTTTTTCATCTGTAAAGCACGGACTAAAACATGCCTTTGGAGATGCAAATGAGCTACTGCGTGTGAAAGCATCTATCATGGTACCTGGCATAGAGGAGCTACCTCCCTTCTGTCAGCAACAGCTCCAAGTCCTACTTGGGTGTGAGGGGCTTGTTGGCATCCCCCAAACACCAGTGAAGACAGGATCACATTTCTTAGCTGAGCCCCGAGCGCTAACCCTGTACCTGCACCTCCTGCCCCCTCTGGTCTCACCTGTTCTAGGCAGCTCCGACACGCCTCCTGGATCAGCTGCTCTGCATCCACCTCTTCCCCGACATTTTCTTGCACGTTCAGTGCTGCCTTCTGGAAGAACTAGGGAGAAGTACAACAGAGGACAAGGTCAGAAGTCCTACTTATTTGCATCAACTTGAAGGAAACAGACATAAAAGAAAAGCTCTTTTCCCACCTTTATATAGGAGGGAACAGTGATTTTGAACATGGCTTTGAGATCAGACAGATTTAGATTCAAATCCCAGGCTCTACTTCCCCATTCAATCCTTGTTTAAGGAGGATAATAATAATCACAGAGGTGCCCAAAGGAAGATCATTATGGCATTAATGTGTAAATAGTACAAAATCAAAGACTAACCTAAATGTCCAAGTACAGCTTAAATAAATTATGGTATATCCATATCACAAAGTAACAGGCAAATACTAAAAATCACAGTAAGGGTGGTATAGGAGAATATATTTTGACATGAAAAAGTATATTGATGATTAAATGTATTCATGCTATATTGCTAGGTGAAGGAAGCAGGGTATAAAATAGTTTGGTTGGTACAGTATGATCCTATTTATGTAAAATAGCAAAAGCAAACAGAGACAGAAGAAATATTAAAGTAACAGTGGTGACATTATGTATATTTGTCTTTTTTTGCTTATCTGTAGTCTCTCAGTTTTATCATGTATATGTATTACCTCTACAGAAGAAATACAAATGCCACTGCCTAAGATAAACAGGTCAGACAGGCCAGAAAAGATGCAGAGAGTAGAAAGTCCTACTTGAATTCTGGCTTTGTCCATCCAAAGAAACACTGGTGGGATGGGAGGCATGAGACCAGGCCAGGGGCCCAGGATACCAGCAGCCCCAGTGGGATGGGGAAAGAGAAGGCAGAAGGCTCCTCCACCAGGTAAGAAGGAGAGCTTGAGCCTGAAAACACCCAGGGAGAGGTGATGTCAGGCCCTGGACCGAGGCACAGGGAACACATCCACTCATAGTGAGAATCCAAGTTGTGTTTCTGGGATACAGTGTCATTGAGAAAAATTCTGGAACCTATAACCAATTCTCCTACTGTGGGAGACAACTGTGGGGATGTATTGTCTTTTTATATTTAGCAAAGTCAAGTGCCTTCGTTGTTAACATCAAACCCAGGAGAAGAGTCTGAAAGCACTGGATTAGAAACCTCATGAGTTTAAGAATAAAATTCTTCAGGCCAAATTAAATGGAATGATCAGATGAACTTGACTTTAAAAAAGTGAAAACTAGAGATTAATACTGTTGTTCAATATTGATTACTGGCTAACTGAGATCTACTTAAAATAATCTAGATACTTTATAATCAGCCTGTGAGGTGGGCAGGCAATAGGGATGAGTATAGTAAAAGCTACCTTTGGGCCTAAGAATGAATTCTGGTCATGAGTAAGGCATTCCCGAACACTTTTGGTAGAAACACAGAATGGCACAACCTTTTTGGAGGGAAATTTTCTTGACAGAAAAATCTGTTTCCCCTTTTATTTATTTATTTATTTCTGTTTTTTTTTGAGAGGGCATCTCTCATATTTATTGATCAAATGGTTGTTAACAACAATAAAATTCTGTATAGGGGACTCAATGCTCAATGCACAATCATTAATCCACCCCCAGCCTAACTGTCGTCAGTCTCCAATCTTCTGAAACATAACGAACAAGTTCTTACATGGTAAACAAATTCTTACATAGTGAATAAGTTCTTACATGGTGAACAGTACAAGGGCAGTCATCACAGAAACTTTCAGTTTTGATCACTCATTATGAACTATAAACAATCAGGTCAAATATGAATATTCGTTTGATTTTTATACTTGATTTATATGTGAATCCCACATTTCTCCCTTTATTATTATTATTATTATTTTTTTAAATAAAATGCTAAAGTGGTAGGTAGATGCAAGATAAAGGTAGAAAACATAGTTTAGTGTTGTAAGAGAGCAAATGTAGATGATCAGGTGTGTGCCTGTAGACTATGTGTTAATCCAAGCTAGACAAGGGCAATAATACATCCATGGATGCAGAAGGTTTCTCTCAAAACAGGGGGGGGTGAGGTTCTAAGCCTCACCTCTGTTGATCCCCTGTTTCCCCTTTTACCCACCAGTTCCATTTCTAGGAATTTACACTCAGAAATACTCTCATAAGTGAATAAAGATGAATATTTAAAATGTTCAGTGTTAACATTGTTTGTAGTAGAGAAAAAGTGGGAAAAATCTGAATGTCCCAGAAACTACCTCATTAAATTGTGGTTCATTCACACATCTGACTACTCCAGAACTACTACAGAACAATCAGGTTGAGCTATTATGTACTGACCTAGAAATATGACAAAATATATTGTTAAATGAAAATACTGAATTGCAGAACACTCTGTGTAAAATGAGCCCATGTAAGTTTTTAAAGATGCACATGTGCATGCACACACATACACACAAATATGAGACTATGTAGTTGCTGTTAACAGTTTGGTATCTCTGGGAGATGAGTTTTTAGTGACTTTTGGTTTTTACTTTTTAAAATATCTGTATATTATTTTCCCAATATTTTATGAAAAATTTCAAACATATAGACAGGTTGAAAGAACTATTCAATCAATGAATATCTAATACTCCCACCTCCACAATTAACATTTTGTTACATTTGCTATCACATATCTACTGACTTATCCCTTTGTCCATCTATCAATCCATTTTATAAAAATGTATTTTTTAAAAGAGGCATGCATTTAGTAAACACAGAAATAAATCAACAAAGATTAATGATGTCTTAGGTAAGATTGGCCATATCTAGAAGTTATCCTAAATATTTTTAAGAAAATGGAGAATGAGATTTGGGGAGGTCATCAAAGTGATCAGGGTTAATCAAGAGCACGAACTCATCTGAAGCTGTGATGTAATCATGTTCTTTGTGATTTGTCGGAAAACAAGTGTGATATAGAAAGGAAGCCCAGAGCCACAAATTGTGTTTATCTAGCATTTGCCTAGGAGACAAAGTTCTTGAATCACTAACCACTATTGGCAAACAACAAAGAAAGGGCTTTGGAGGCAGGTGATCCTGGACTGAATCCTGGCCTAGCCTTTTCCTAGTGGCTTATTTTTGCACATATGAAGTTGTGGAGGTATGAAAACACCTGGTACATTCTGGAACATACAAAAATCAGGGGTAGTAATGACAGGGTATACTGGGAGTGTGGCTGGGTCTGATCACAGTGGGCCATGTATGCCATGCTGAGGAATCTTTATTTTACCCAGAAAACAATGGAAAGTTGCTGAGGGAATTAAATAGGGGAGTAAGACCACTGGATTTACATTTTAGAGCTCACTGGCAGCTATATGGAGGGTGGGCTGAATGAGGGAAAGAACAGAGGCAGTTACAGATTATAACAGGAGCCTGGGTGGAAAATAATGAAGGCCTGAGCCCAGGCAGAGGCAAGGAAGAAGAGGGGCACGCTTGGCAGATGGTGAGGTGGGATGCACGGACTCCACGGCTGGGTATCAAAGATGAAGGAGAAGAAAGAAGGCAGCATCCCCGGTTTCTGGTTTTTAAGTGAATGGTTGTCCTATTCAAACTTAACATGTCCAAAACCAAGTTTCTGATTTCACCCACTTGTTCCTGTTTTCCTCACATTAAGTCAATGGTAATTCTATTTTGTTCTATTTTTCTCAATCACTTGGGAGTCATTTACTTCTCCTTTTCTTCTATCCTGAATATGCAAATCACTAGCAAATTCTATTGCTAAAAATATATCTGTTGCTTTACAATATATACAGAATCTGACTTTTTCCCAACATCTTTGCTGCTAATACCAAAGGCCACTATCATCTTAGGCCTCTTAACTCAGCCTCCTGCCGTCTTTTCTCTACATAACAGTCAGGATGACCCTTCAAAACGTTCAGATCATGTGCTCCACTCAAAACTCTCTAATCGCTTCCATTTTACACATAGTAAAGCCCAAAGTTCTTACCACAGCTTCAAAGGTTCTGCATGAACTGGGCCCGTTACTTCTCTGATGGCCTATCCTACCACTCTTTTGGCTCAGTCTGTTCCAGCCACACTGGTTACTTTGTTGCTTTGACTGTGCCAAGCACGCTCCCTTGTTCCTTCTGCCTGGACTGCTTTCTCCCAGGTATCTGCATGGCTTGTTCTTTCCTCCCTTTATTTGGGTCACTGCTCAGATGTGGCTTTTCTAGACACCATCTATAAACTAGCACTCCTGTTCCCCACTGGTCACGCTCACTGACATTCTCTAACATAGTATATATTTGTTTATAAAGGTCAAGGATATTGTTCATCTTGCTCACTACTTCATCTCCAGTGCCGAGAACACTGCCTACCATCATGGAAATTCTTCTTGGAATGAATAAACATAAGAGGAAGAGGTTTAGGAAGAAAAACAGAGTTTAGTTCTGAATATGGTGAGTCTGAAGCATCCATGGGACAGTCAGGGGGAGTCATGCAGAAGTTTATTTATAGGCCTAGGAAAGAATTTTATGTAACAAAAATGATGATGATATTAAATGAGTAATCAAAGTACTTGTTCTGTTCCAAGCACAGTGCTGAGTACATTACACTTAGTCATTTTATCTTTGCAATAGTTCAGCTAAAGGGGTATTCAAATTACCCCCAAAGAGGGAACAAAGTTCTGGGGGGTTCAGAACTGGAAAACTTTACACAACTGTGTGTACTAGAGAGAGCCAGAGGGATTGTGATGTAAGAAAGGACTGCCTATGAGTCTTTTTCCCTGTTAATTTTTTTATCGTTTGTCTCACCTTCATGTACTTGTTGAGGACAGTCTGGATCTCCTCATTGATGCTAGGCTGCAAGACAGCTCGGAGGAGGTCCATGGAGATGGAAGGGTCTGTGAAACTGCATTCAAGAGAGACACAGTTGGGGGCCACATCCCAAACATATCCTCTCCTAGTCTGCCCAGTCAATTACTGATATAGGATCCCTTAATGAAAAATAATAGACAGCTTCTATTGAAAAGTAGCTGTATTCCCAGCTGTATTCTCTCGGCAAACCACAGAGATGTATGGCTTTATTTCCTTCTCACCATAACTTTATGAAATGGGTATTATTTTAGGAAATACAAACAACCATTTTAGTGAACATCCATTTCATTACTTCCCATCAAGAAATATAATCAGCATCCCAAAGGCTCTTTTGTGCTCTCTCCCTCCCTGAGATGAATACTAGTATTAGCTCCACTTTCTTTTCTAACCTCCATACAAGTCCGCCTCATTACAGCCCTCAACCATGGAGCTGGTGTTAGGGATCTCAGGCACTTTTTAATCAATGCTCCCC